TTCCTACCATAGGGGAGGGGGGACAGACACTTTCTCCTTTGTCTTGTGAGGACAGGCAGCAGGTCATTCTTTGCAGTTCCCATTTATCGAATTTGGAGATTGATAGAGTGTTTTATTTAGAATTATTGCCCCTCTGTCGGTTGTGAAATTTGAGGCAGCAAGTATGATGAAGCACAATGCAGTTGCAGAGATATAAATATATAGGAAGCTTTTGCCAGCATCAGTTGCCTGTGGCTCTCACTGTGAAGAGGCAGCCCACAACACTTCCATCCTGAAAGGGCAACTTGTATTGACATTTGGGCCCTGAATGGAAACAGAAGCCCTCCCGCTCACTTTCTTTTCCAGGATGTCGGCGCAGGAAGGAGGGAATTGATCAGCCAATGGCAGCTGAACAGGAGGGCCGGGAGAGGGGAGAGATGTGGCCCTGCAGGCCTCTCTGTCTGACCCTTGGGACTTTTCCAGGTCCCACTCCTCACTGGCCTCACCTTGCCCCTTCCCCTTGAGTGCTTTTGCCTGGATGGGATATGGTATTGAACTCTGATGGCACCTCACTTCCCAGGGGCATTTGTAGAAAGCAGCCTACACCACAGAGGCAAAACCCACATTTCTTGCTCCGCCCAGTTCTGCCTCTGGCCTTGACCCAGAATGTGGTCCCCAGAACAGGGATGTGGCCCTTGGGCTATTCAGCAGAAAATTGTGATCCTTTATGCTTGTGTGTTAATTGAAACTCCTGGAAGGGAAGAGGCAACTTTGTCTCCCGCTTGGATTTTCTGCCTCTTGAGATGTGAGAAGGATGCAGAAGCCATTATTGGGGGGGGGTCTCCTTTCCGCGGGAGGCACTGGTGGCCGCTGGCGATCCACTTGGTCAGTTGGCTTCTCAGCATCTCTGTTGCACCACTAAAAACCTCTGCAACGGGGCTGCCAGCTGAGCGAACAGCCCGTTTTTGCAGTGTGGGAGTGGTCTCTAGATCTGTGCCCCCCATTCTTCAGATGTTGTATTGTGTTTTTACTATTTTTTGTTGGGAGCTGCCCAGAGTCCCTGGGGCAAGATGGGTGGCATATTATTATTCTTATCATTAATAATAATAATAATAATAATAATAATAATAATAATAATATGTTCCCCCTCCCCTGGGTCTCCTGCCCTCCATGGACCATAGGGTTCTCAACTACCTTGCACCATTGCAGCAACCCTCTAGGGAGGATTTGACTTACCTGCCCAGAGATTTGAAGGGTCCTGCTCCCCACCACCCCAACCCCATATTGATGGCTGATTTACGATTATCCCTCTGGATTTGAGCAGAGGAGCAGTTTTGTGCAACGGTAAAGCAGGTGACTTGCTGGCTAGGTGTACAGCCTTTAGTTTTGCGATGAGAAACCCGTAGCCAGTCCTGGGAATGAATCTTCTCTGGTAGGGAAAGGATGAAAGCAAAGCCCGACTTGGATGTGGGAAGACCCTGCAGGGAGCCAGAGAACTTGCCCGAAAAGCAGCAGGAAGCAGAAGCTCTGGCTGGATTGGGTCCCCCCCCCCCGCTTTAAGACCTGAAACGAGCCCCCCTGGCGGGGCTCCGCAGACCTTGGTGACTTTTCCCTGCAGGAGGGCACACAGCACCCCCTCCCTTGAGGTTGTAGCATATCTCTCCCTCCGCAAGGGCCGGCTTCTGCCTTCCGGGGGCCAGAGCAGAGGTCTCTGCGAGAGCCAGCGTTGGACTTTCCTTTCTGCCAGCCATTCCTGGTTTGGGCCGACTTTGAGCAAAATGGGGGTGGGTGGGGGGCGTGGACCGAAACCTTTGCAAGCTGTCCCTGCCCCGGCAATTACACCGTCAGGCAGATTCCGAGGCAACAACCGGCAATTAAGAGGGTTGGGTTTCCCCTCTTTCTCCTCCCATGAAGTTTGGGGAACTTGGGCTGGAGGCTGTTGGGCCGCATTGGCTGGGGCACCTGGGAGAGACGCACAAGCACACCCCAGGCAGGGAAAGGCTCCTGGTGGGAATGGCTGGAGGCTGGGAAGCTTTGCATTTTGAATGCCTGCCAGCCCGCCTAGAGAAAAACCTGTTAATCATAGAATTGGAGAGTTAGAAATGAATGAACCCCAGGGTCATCGACTCCAACCCCCTGCGACGCAGAAATTGCAACTAAAGCACCCCAGAAAGGTGGCCATCCAACCTCTGCTTAAAAACCTCCAATGAAGGAGAGTCCACCACCTTCAGGATGCCTCCCTGAGGCTGTGGCAGAAAGCATAACCTGCGAGCAGTGAAGGGAACTATTTCTTACCTGATGGTATAAAGTGCTCTACAGGAAAAATAGTTTGCAAAGTTTGCAGGAAGGCTTTTCACTCTCTCGCACACAGGCTGCGCGATAGACCGTGCGTGCAGCTGGTATGACCGGCTGCAGCTGGTATTCAGAAGCCTAAGAATTTATGCTTAAAAAACCCAAGTTGTTAGTCTTTATGGCTGCAGGTTCACCCTCCAGCAGCTGGTTCAAACATGGCTGCCCCCTCCTGTTCAGGGGGGGGGGCATTTGGCAACAGGCTCCCAGCACTGACCCATCGTTGCCTCCAGGCTTGGCTTGGCTTCAAATTATTTTGAAAAATACCAAAGAGAAGTCTTAACATCAAATGTGAATCCTTGGAGCTGCCAAACCCATTGTCCTTTCATCTCAAACCTGTGCATCTTCCATTAATGCATTCCTTCAGAGCTATGGGTGTGTGCCTGGGGGGGGGGAGACCCCACCCAATTCTTTTCCGAGGGAGGGGTCTTGCTCCAGCCTGGAAGGGCTTAAGGGTATGGATGGAGACCAAGGACATAGCCAGGACCCCTCAGGGAGGGTCTTGCTTCATGACATCCTTCTTAGCAAGGAGCATTCAGAAGAGACATACGTTTTATTTAAGCAGGGAGGAATGCAAAGATGTTGAACTCTCTAGCAAATCCTCAAGAGGGGGTCTTAGCCTGTGAACCCACAGGTTTGGTAGCTGGAGCGCAAACTATTTCCCGTTTTTATGGGTTAATATCACTATTAAAGCATTTCTACCGCACAGCTTAGCCAGAAAGGCTCCCAGAGTGGTTTATAGAACAATAAGTAAAACAAGGCAGTTCCTGCCCTCAGGCTGACAGTCTGAAAGACATGACACAGAAGGAAAATTGGGTGGGGAAGAAGGAGGAAGAAAAACAAACTTAGGCACCAGTTTTTAAAGTTACAGCTGAAGGAGCCCTTCTCCTCCTCCTCCTCCTCTCTCTGGCCCTTGAGAAGGGCAATGTCTTTCTTTTATCCACTAAGTCGCAGTCATGGGCAGGCTCTCTCCTCTCAACAGTCTCCCCCTTTCTCAGTTGGGGTGTGTGTAGGCATAGCACCCTCCTTTGAGTCCTGCTTTTGGGGGGGGGAGGCTGTCAAGCGTGAGGCTGATGGAAGCTCCCTGAGGCATGCAAGCCACTGATACTGAATGTTTGGAAGCATGGGAAGGGTGAGCTTTGTGGGCTGGTTTGGGAGCCCATCGTAGGCCGGAAGGACCGGCGTGTTTGGCATATATGTGTGTGTGTTGGGGAGGATGCAGAGAGACTCTCCTTTGTGACCCCAGATAGGGTGCATTGGCCAAGACCTGCACCTGAGCCGTGTTGGGTGGAGGTCTCTTGATGCTCCAAGTCTTTTTCCTGCCCCCCAAGGGTCCTGAGCAGGTGCAGGGGACCTGTGGTGGGTGTGTCAGCCAGTCACCCTCTCCAGACCTCTGTGGGTTGTAGGGGTTGCGGCTGTGCCGAGGAAAGGGCAGAACTGCCTGTCGTCTGAGGTGGGGCAGGGCCTTCCCCTCTTCCCCTCTCACACATCTCTCTCGGGGAAGCCAGATCGTAAGAGCAGCAGGCAGGTCGGGAAGCGAGCGAGGGAGACGGCGGCCGCCTCCACTGTCCGCTTGAGGGCGTGCCAGAGAACTGGGGACCTCTGGCTGGGCCAGACTGACAGCCATGGGGTCTGAATAACGTGTGTGGCTTTTCTCTCTCCACCCCCTCTCTTGTTTTGAAGCTGCCACGTGGAATGGTGCCATGGCCAACTCCTCAGACAGCGACGAGGACAGCTTCATGGCCGTGGACCCCCAGGAAGCTGCAGCCGACGGGGCCACCATGGAGCAGGATGAGGGGGAGCCCAGCGCCAGGCCGGAGGAAGAGGGCAAGGGAGGGGCCGCCAGGCTCCGCCGGTCCATGCAGGAGCTGCCGGAAGAAGTGCTGGAGTACATATTGTCCTTCCTCTCGCCCTACCAGGAGCACAAGATGGCAGCCCTGGTTTGCAAACAGTGGTACCGCCTTATCAAAGGTACTTGCGTTTGGCGGGGGAGGACAGCTGGAGTCTCCCCTGATGGCAAGCCAGGCTTCCCCGTAGTTCACAGGCCTCTCCCGAGTTTCTGCTCCCAAAGAGACTCGCCCGGAGAAGCAGCAGAAGCAGGCTGCGCAGAAGGTGTTTGGCCAGGGTTCTCAGTATCCTGCTCAGCCCTTGGTTGGCAGAATCAGAGCCACCTCGCACTGCTTGAAATCTCGAGGGAGCTGCAAGAGGTGCCTGACCTCTGTGGTCAGGGCTGCCCCAATGTGGAGCGCCTTAGGGCTGGAGCCAGCTTGGCCTTGGAGCAGTTACGGGTCTTGGGTGGGAAATTCCCGGCGGTGATGCCTGCCTCGCTCTCTCTTCCTCCTCCAGGTGTGGCCCACCAGTGCTACCACGGCTTCATCAAGGCGGTCCAAGAAGGCAACATCCAGTGGGAGAGCCGCACCTATCCCTACCCTGGGACCCCCATAACCCAGCGCTTCTCACACAGTGAGTCCCTGGCTGGGGAGCTGACTACGGGGCGTAGGGGTGTGTGGCAGAGGCCTGCAGCCCTGGGACCCCTTTCTCAGCTTCCTTGCATGGAAGATTTCAAGTCTGGAGGTGGCCTTGTTTTCAACAGAGAGCAGGGGAGGTGGAAGGTGGGGATTGGGAAATGGGCCGGGGGGGGAGATTCAGCCCTTTGCAGAGCAGCCGTGGGGAAGGGGGAACTTCTGGCTCCTTTGCCTCATGATTATTGCAGGAGCCCCAGTTGACCCACAGGCCCATTCTCCCCAAGACATCTGGTGTGGGGCAGCTAAAGTTCACTGCTCCCTGGAAAGTGTGCTGCCAGCCAGCTGATCGCCAGGGCCCACGGTGGATAAAGGAAAACGCTTCACCTGACCTCTGGGTGGCCCATAAAAACATCCAGAGAGCCCTGCAGCAACAGGATCAGGCCGGAGGGACCCGTCTTGGCCTCCAAACCTTCCTTCCTCCTCGTAGTCATTTGTGGGCAAGCCCTGCTTTCTTTTTGACAACCATCTTTCTCACAAGACAATGGAGTGCACCTCCAGGGGTGACACTGAACTGCTGCGTTAGCACTGAAGTGACCTCCCTGGGACACAAGCCTGGGCAGTGGGCATGGAGGTCCTGGGCTGCCCAGAAGACAAGACCCTGCTCTCAGCCTCACTGAAGTGCTCCAAAGGGAAACAGAGCAATACCTTTGACAATCAGCTGGGCCACAAGAGTTGCTGGAAGGAGGCATCAATTAAGTGTTTTAAGTTTGTTGTTAGCCACCCTGAGCCCCGTTTCCGGGAAGGGTGGGGTATAAATAATAATTTATTATTATTTATGTATACAACACGGGGAGGGGTTCGCCAGCCGTGTCAGTAAATGGGCAGAGGAGAGATGCCTCTGTGGAGCCTGCATGTTCAGAGGCAGTCTACCACTCAAGGACAGTCAGCTTATGGGGGCCGAGTGCTGCTTGTGGGTTTCCTCCAGGCCATAGTAAGGCAAGAGGCTGCTGGGCCAGATGGAGTCCTTTGGGGGCCAGGGGTGGGCTTGGGCCTGGCTCCCGTGTCTCTCCTCCCCCTCTCTCTCAGGGTGGGGCTTGAGCTTGCCAGGCACTCAGGGCTGGCATTCCTTCCTTCTTTCCTGGTCCCTCCAGGCGCCTGTTACTACGATGCCAACCAGTCCATGTATGTCTTTGGCGGCTGCACCCAGAGCAGCTGCAACGCTGCTTTCAACGACCTCTGGAGGCTCGACCTGAACAGCAAAGAGTGGATCCGGCCACTGGCCTCAGGTGAGAGCAGGTGCAAGCTTGGGGTTGGCTGGGAGGAGGCTGCCATCCTGGGGCCACCCAGAGGAGTTCTTGGCCAGAAACCTGGGCTGAAGCGGAGTCAGGGGGGCCCCCTTTTCATCCATGCCTCTTGGTCATGGGATGCAGCTCCTTGAACGCTAAGGAGGAGGGGAGGAGGACATCCAAGGCCCTGTAGACGTTGCTAGACCTCTCCTCCTGAGGAGCAGGGAGGCAGGAGAGGAGGTTTCCACCCTCATTCGCCTGGGGTGGCAGTCGCTGTCTACAGCTCAGGTACAGAGCCAGAAAGAGCCACAGGCTGCATGGCTACAGAGCAAGATGGGGGCAAGGGTGCTCTTGGGCTGCCTCGCTGATGTCTGGAGTGCCTGCCTGCTCCTAGCGCAGGGCCAAGCGTTCCCCATCATACTGGGAGCTCCCCTTTCTGGGGCTTGGGAGAGCCGGATGAGGTGTGCTTCTGCCGGTGGCCCCCACGGCAGCCAGAGGGAGTGTGGGAAATGGGCGATCCTTCCCACAACCCTCAGCTTCACTGATGGTACCAAGAAGTTCCCACAACCACCCGGTTTTTAATAACAACAATGGGGATGGCTTTAACACCTTAAAAAAGAAATTGCTGCAGGAAATTGGGGGAGGCATTTCGTGCAGGGGGTCAAGGACCGAAAGCTCCCCCCCCCAAAAAACCCCTCAGGATAGGGTTTTCTTGCCACCGTCCCTCCCGCTGGCTTCTCCATGGATCTTCTGTCGCAAATGTTGCATACAGTCATTTCTTAATTCTTTTCCTTTGCTATTAGAAATTCCTGCTTCAAACGGCAGCTTCTTTCTTCACCTGCCAGGGAGCGTGTTTTGTAAAGAACCAAATCTGATGGGGGGCTGCTGGCTTCTGGGGCACCCCCAGCTGCCCTGCTGACCTTCAGAAGCACCTGCCCCATGGCAAGGGTCTGGCTGCAGCAGCTGGGGCCTTTGGGGCAAGGAGGTGGGGAGGTGGCAAGCATCACCCGTCACCCCCCTTCCTGCCATGGAGTCCCCTTGCAGCTGGGGCTGGGAAGAGTGATGGGAGCCTGCAGGGTGTGGACGTGGGTGGGTGGAGAGGCAGGACTGTGGGGCAGGGTTAGACAGAACTCTAAATGCCCCACGTGCAACCCCTCAGCCTCTTCGATTGGCGGAACACATAACACCAGTTCCACAATTACAGACATACCTCGGAAGTTGAACGGAATCCGTTCCAGAAGTCCGTTTGACTTCTGAAATGTTTGGAAACCAAGGTGCAGCTTCCGATTGGTTCCCAATTGCGCAGGCGCGCCGGAAACAATAGTGGAAGCCATTCCAGACGTTCGTCTTCCAAAAGTTTGAAAACTTCCGGTTTTCAATTGTTCGGGAGCAGAACATTCGACTCCCAAGGCGTTTGGGAGCCGAGGCACAACCATAAGAATTCAGTTGTTTAGTGTGTCAGGATCTGCACTTTGGAACTCCCTGCCTGTTGACATCAAGCAGGTGCCTTCACTGTCTTCTTTTCAATGCCTGCTAAAAGCATTACTATTTAGACAAGCCTGTCCAGACGCTTAGAAAGTTGAATTTTGACTTTATATATGTTCTAAAGTACCACTGGTAAGTTTTTGTTGATTTTATTGTTTTATCTCTTTGTAAACCGCTTTGAGGGGTGTTGCAATATGCCATCTACCCAAAGCAAAAAAAAGTGGGAGAGCTGATGGGTGCTAGTGGGGTGTAGATGTTCCAGCAGGTGGCGGGGACATCTAGGCGGGGCCCCCCCACACTCTGGTCTGGATGCTGAAATGCAGCCCAGCTGTGAGTCTCCTCCCTTGCAATGGCAGGAGAGACAAAGCTTGAGTTGGGGAAGGAAAGCCCCCCCCCCAGTAAATTGCCAGGGAGTTGCAGGCGGGGCAACTCAACCCCACAACACCTGCCTGTCAGCCTGGCAGGAAATTAGGGGTTTTGTGCTTCCCCTTTCAAGAGCTGCCTGACGAAAGCATTAATTAACTTGTACAAGGAGCTGCCAGCTCTTCCCTCGACTGCTCCCCCCTCCACAGAAAGGAAGGAGGGAGTTCAATTTGCAGCCAGGCGGCAGGTCCCTCTGCTTCCGGCAAATGGGAGCAAGATATGCAGGCTATTCTCTTTTGGGGGGGGTCTGTCGTGACCGCAGGGCCCCCTTGCATCCCCAACACCCCACCCCTTAGAGCAGCACTGCAAAAGGGCTGTGCATCCGGTGTTTCTCCTTTTCATTTCTTAAACCAAACCAAGAAACGGGTTCCTAGTCCTCAAGGGGGCAGATGTGGAACTGGCAAAAAGGGAGGGTCTGTGGGCGGATGTGGCCCTGTCCTGCATGCTCTGTGTTCCTCTTTGTCTTTCTTTGGGTGCAGGCAGAGGAGCAGAAATGCTGCTTTCTCTGAAGTAAAAGCGTAGCCCTTTCACACACACACAGAAGCTCTCTGCATTCCTGATTCTCTTCCCCCCTCCCCGGCACTTGACAATGAAGTTTCCGCCAGGGAGGGCTATTTTTGTCCCAGCGCTGCACTGCCCTGTCCACTTCCTCTGGAATTCAGGGAGGCTCTCCAGGGAACTGTGGGATCCGCTGAGCCGGGGGGGGGGTGTTTGCCATGTGCCAGGCTTTGGATGGTCTAGCTTTAGGGGCCTATTTTTGCAGTCTTGCAGGCGTGAGCTGCAAATAGCCCCATCCCCAATTTTGGTCTTGGATCCTGCTGGCAACTCTGGCCTCTGACTCTCGAGGTCGCCTTGGAAGTGTTGGTGGCACCAAGTTCCCAAGGACGCCTCTGGGTGCCCAGTTACCTTTCCTGCATGTATCTCTCCCCCCCCCCCCCCCCGTTGGGTAGGACTGAAGTATCCCACCCACCAGCCCTGTCTGTTCTCTCCATGAAAGGAGAATCCTCTGGAGGAAGAAACAGCGTCTCCTGGCTTGGGAAGAATCAGAGGCTTTCCTCTCTCCGTGTTGGCTGTCTCGGGGACAGGGAGGAATTATAAAGCTGTAGAAGTGGAAGGGACCCCAAAAGTCATCTATCCCAACCCTCTGCAGTGTAGGAATCACTCTGAACCCAGTGGTTAGGATTCCATGAACTTGCTTAGAATCATTAGGTACCACTTCATAGCAGCAGCTTCTCACAGTAAAAATCAGATTTGATAACAGAAATCACCCGTTACTGGCAGGATAGGTTGCGGCAGGTGGCGTTTCCAGGGGGGCAGAGAGCCCAGCTTCTTTGCTGACATTGGCACTCGGGCAACAGGAAAGGGGCAGCCCCAAGACTCCTCTGCTCTTGCGCAACTTCATTTGCAGACAGGATGCAGGGGCTTCTTCAAAATGGGATCTCCTTGCCTTCTGACCAGGGCTTCCCATTCCACTTTGGAGACAGACAGCGGCTTGTGTCCCGCATTTCTTGCCCAACTTCAGGCAGAGCGGCAAAGTCTGGCCATTGCAAATCGGGTAGTTGCTGGTGGGTCAGGTCCTCGGCTGTCTGCGGCTTTTTCATCTATGTTTGTATCCAGGAAGCCCTTTCCTCAGCGAGGTCTGCTTTTCTCTCCCTCCTCCCTGCAGGCTCTTACCCTTCACCCAAGGCGGGGGCCACCCTGGTGGTATACAAAGACTTGCTGGTGCTGTTTGGAGGCTGGACGCGACCCAGCCCTTACCCCCTGCACCAGCCAGAGAGGTTCTTCGACGAAATCCATACCTATTCGCCCTCCAAGAATTGGTAAGAGCTGTTCGGAACAACGGTCTGCCATTCTCAAACCTTCGTTTCAGCTGTATAGAATCGCAGAACTGTAGATTTGGGGTCCCACAGGTCACCTGGTCCTGCGATGCTGGAATCACAACTAAAGAATTGCTAGCAAGTGCCCAACCAACCTCTGCTTAAATACCTGCAATGAAGGAGAGCCCACGAGTGTCCGATGGAGACCTTCAGAAAGCTCCTCCTGATGTTTAGTCAGAATCTCCTTTCTTGGAACTTGAATCCGTTGGTTCAAGTCTGGAGCAGCAGAAAACAAGCTGCCTCCATTTTCCATGGGACAGGCCTTCAGATGTTTGGCTGTCTAAAGGGCCATCACACAGATGATGGAGCAAACCTCTCTCCCACTCCTCCTTTTTATTTACTCAGTGATTTGTACACTGCCCAATAACAGCCATCCTGCATTGATTTGATTTTTGATTTTTTTCACTGTGGAAATTGGAGCGTGAGCACGTTAAGAATTTTCATTAACTTTTATCTATATAACCCAGTTAACAAAATAACATTTTGTGGGGCGAGCGCACGAAAGATAAACCGAGCCAAACGAAGGCTAGGGTGGGATGTTACGTGCGCAAGAGAAAGCGATAAAGCTGGTTATCCAGAGATCTGCGATAAGATACAGACAAGTGGGCCCAGCTGTGGGCAGCCTGAGGAAGTACCACCCCCTTGGGCTTTCCCACAAAAAGCACTCGCTGCTTCCAGGAACTCTTCTCGTGGTGAGACTGTTGTGGGTGAGCTGAGCATTTGTGGGACCCCGGGGTGAGAACCTGGAGGCTGAGAAAGAAGGAAGAGTGTGTCCAAAGGAAAATGAATTAATATTGATGTATATTTATCAGCAACTCTGTATTAATGCAACATTTTCCTATATATTTTTGTAATGTTTTGTTCAAGTTGCCCGTCATTGATTTTTGCACACCACTTGAAGATTTTAAGCAGTATAGAAATTTAAAGATCAAGGGAGGTAGTGTGTGTGTGTGTGTGCACTGTTTTGTAGCTTCATCTTGCCCCTCTTTCTTCTCCTCCTTCTGCCCACCTTCAGGTGGAACTGCGTGGTTACCACCCACGGACCCCCTCCCATGGCTGGCCACTCCTCCTGTGTCATCCAGGACAAAATGATTGTCTTTGGGGGGTCCCTCGGATCTCGGCAAATGTAAGTCCGTTTTTCTCCCCTCCCCTCTTCAAATGAAAAACACAATAATGTCCCGCAAGACCACCACCAAAAAGAAGGCGGCTTCCATCTAAGGTTCTCTCTTTCTGGCAGGAGTAATGACGTCTGGATACTGGACCTGGAGCACTGGGCCTGGTCCAAGCCAACCATCTCCGGGCCCACCCCTCATCCGCGAGGAGGCCAATCACAGGTGAGGGTCTCCTTACCCGCCCCCCCCCAGCATCTCTGCTTGCAGTGAGGCCCACCGGGGGCCAAGGGTGGCGGGACCCCTTCCCTTTCTTCTGCATCCCCTGCCTCATCCACCACCTCCCATCTCCGGTGCCTAAAAGGCCTTGTGCCAAGTTAGCTCCCTGGTCTGCCTAGCTCAGTGCCGCCTCCACTAACTGGCAGCAATGGTTCTGCAGGAAGTCTTTCCCACTCCTGCCTGGAGATACTGCCAGCAGGGATTGAACCAGGGGCTTTCTGGATGCCCTGTGCCATCGGGATACAGCTGCTCCTGACCTTGGGAAGGTCTTGGGTGAGCAGCTGCCAGTGGCAGTAGGCAGAGCTTGGCTTCAGTGGGCCAGGAAGGGGCCTGACTCAACGGAGGGCAGCAGGTGGTTTGCAGGCTCCTGGCCTCTCTGGGCTCCCCAAGACTACATACCCACTTTTCTCTCTCCCTCTCTGCCAGATCGTCATAGATGACAAAACCATCCTGGTCCTCGGAGGCTGTGGGGGCCCAAATGCGGTGAGTAGGCTGTGTTGTGGGGGCTCTTCACTCCCCCTTTTGTTCCCTTTTAAGGCTCCAGTCTACTGTAATAATAATAATAATAATAATAATAATAATAATAATAATAATAATAATAATAATTTATTATTTATACCCCGCCCATCTGGCTGGGTTTCCCCAGCCACTCTGGGCAGCTTCCAACAGAACACTAAAATACAATAACCTATAAAACATTCAAAGCTTCCCTAAACAGGGCTGCCTTCAGATGTCTTCTAAAAGTTTGGTAGTTATTTTTCTCTTTGACATCTGGTGTGAGGGTGTTCTACAGGGCGGGTGCCACTACAGAGAAGGCCCTCTGCCTGGTTCCCTGTAACTTGGCTTCTCGCAGTGAGGGAACCGCTAGAAGGCCCTTGGAGCTGGACCTCAGTGTCCGGGCAGAACAATGGAGGGGGAGACGCTCCTGTAGAAGCACCCAGCCAGATTCTGTAGGTGCTGCTTTCCTAGAAGCCACCCAAGACTGGCTTTCTGGCTCTCTGCTCCACTTAGGCAAAGCAAGTGAGTTGCCCTCCTTTCTGCCTGCTGCTTGTCTTTGGTGGGTGGAGGAAGGGGGGGGGTTCTGCAGGAGCAAGATCAGCATCAAAGGGGGGGATATTGGGCCTGTCTAGCGCTATTCCGAAAGAGGTCACCACTGGCTACCTTTTGAAGAGCAAAGGCAGCCCCTCCTCATCTTGGGGGTGTCCCCAGCCGACTCCCTTTGCAGCCCAGAAAGGGGACCCCCTCCTGTGCCCGGCTGACCCTCCTTCCTTTTCTGCCCAACAATGTTGACTTGCCTTCTTGCCCCCAGTTGTTCAAGGACGCCTGGTTGCTGCACATGAGCTCCGACCCTTGGACCTGGCAGCCCCTGAAGGTGGAGAATGAAGAGCAGGGCGCCCCCGAGCTCTGGTGCCATCCGGCTTGCAGGGTGAGCGAGGAGGGGGGTTGTGGGGGGGGGGAGGAACAGCTGCCAGGGCTGCCTCTTCACCCACAGCTCTTTCAGTGCGGTGGGCTTCCATTAAAAATTTTAAAAGAGGGAGGGAGGGAAATAATGAGACCCCACCTCCCAAGTGGGTTGGTCGGCTAGCTGAGCTGGGATTTGAACTTGCAGCTCTCAAGGCCAATGTGCCTTAGGCATTTGTGGAACATATGTACCAACAGTAGCGGCTCTCAGGGGCTTTCAGGCAAGGGCAATTCCCAGCCCTGCCTGGAGGTGCTGTTAGGGTTGAGTCTCTTCCCCTCCTGTAGCATTCCCAAAGCAAGGAAGGACTGGACTCTGATTAATAAAATACACACGAGGCTTGACCAGCAAGACTCTGGGAGGAGGTGCGTATAATAATCCTCTCCACCCACCGGCCCAGTTCATTTTATTCACAAAAGAACTTTTTACACAGTGTTCATAAGAACCAATCAGATTTCCTCTGAGCATTTAAAAAACCCTACGTGGGACAAAGTCAGATCAGAAGAAATCCTTTTAACTACAAAGACTACTTTGAGCATGTATACATATCTGAACGCGGGACGCGGGTGGCGCTGTGGGTAAAAGCCTCAGCGCCTAGGGCTTGCCGATCGAAAGGTCGGTGGTTCGAATCCCCGCGGCGGGGTGCGCTCCCGCTGCTCGGTCCCAGCGCCTGCCAACCTAGCAGTTCGAAAGCACCTTCGGGTGCAAGTAGATAAATAGGGACCGCTTACTAGCGGGAAGGTAAACGGCGTTCCGTGTGCTGCGCTGGCTCGCCAGATGCAGCTTTGTCACGCTGGCCACGTGACCCGGAAGTGTCTGCGGACAGCGCTGGCCCCCGGCCTCTTGAGTGAGATGGGCGCACAACCCCAGAGTCTGTCAAGACTGGCCCGTACGGGCAGGGGTACCTTTACCTTTACATATCTGAAAGTAAATAAAACAGGACTAGAGGAGTGCATTCAGCAAAACCCTGGAGGTCATAAACAAGCAGTAAAACATGAGAGGAAGGATGGCAAGGAAGATAGGTATCTTTATCACCTTCATGTGAAACTTATTTCCTGGCCCTAAGATTAACAAAACCAAGGAAGGGTACATCAAAGCTACCTATTGACTTGATGGCCTAGGATGCCTGGTGCAGCAACCAGCAACTGGCCTGTGTCCTAGAATGCTTATACGTGCTTGTCAGGTGTAGAGAAAGCAAATGGCAGAGGTGGAGAGGCTTGTGGGATTCGATCAGAAACCATTGTCAAGGAATCAAACCCAGTCCACGCAATGCTTTCATCGTGGACACAATGGCTTGCTTCATTTTTCATAATGCCTCATAGCTATCCCAAATGACCCCCACACTCTGGATATTTGCACCCCCCCCCCTTGAGCGGGGCTCAGAGAGAGGAGGAGCTCAGCACCGTCCAGCCCCTGGGAGCCCCTGTCGCGTTTCTCAGCCCCCTTGCTGTGGGCAGCAGAGAGGATGACGCTGTGCCCCCTTGCTTTCTTCTCTTGCAGGTGGGGCAGTGCGTGGTGGTCTTCAGTCAGGCCCCCAGCGGGCGGGCGCCTCTCAGCCCCAGCTTGAACTCCCGCCCATCCCCCATCAGCGCCACCCCGCCGGCCCTGGGTCCCGAGGCGCGGGAATATCGCTCCCAGTCCCCGGTGCGGACGGCGGATGAGGCGCCCTGCGTCAACGGCCGGTGGGGCACCCTGAGGCCCCGGGCACAGCGGCAGACACCCTCTGGCTCCCGGGAAGGGAGCCTCTCGCCGGCAAGGGAGGACGGCTCGCCCATCTTGAACGGCAGCGGGGGCTTGTCGCCCGGCCCCCTGGCCACAGGGGGGGCCTCTCTGGACAGCCCCCTGCAGGCCGCTTCTCCCAGCATCCCTTCCGCCATCAAAGGACACGACCCCAAGGCTGGCCTGCCCCTGGGCCCCCGGCGAGGCTCCCTCCCTGACCAGAAGGACCTGCGGCTGGCGGTGGCTGACTTAACCTGGGAGCCGAAGCCTCCGGCCACTTCCCTGGCCTGCCAACTGGACGCTGCAGAGAACAGGACGGTCAGCCTGGCCTTCAGGAACCCTCCGGAACAGACCAACGGCCTCCACACCCCGCCCCACACGGCCAGCTCCTTGGCGGGCGCCGTCTCCCCTGGTGCCCTGCGGCGGAGTCTGGAGGCGGTGAAAGCCCTCTCGGCCAAGGGACCCCCTACCCTGGCCGTCCTCAGTCCCCCTCTGGTCTCCTCGCCAGCGTCCCCTGGCAGCCAGAGCGGCAGCGCTAGCAGCACGGAGGGGGCGGCGGCAGCTGCCCCCAGCATCCCCCGGCCCGTCTCCAACCAGGGGGACGGCCACGCCTTGCCCCCCATCGCCCGCCGGCTCGGCCACCACCCGCCGCAGTCACTGAACGTGGGCAAGCCCCTGTACCAGAGTGTGAACTGCAAGCCCATGCAGATGTACGTGCTGGACGTCCGGGGGGCCCAGGAGCATGGGCGGGTGGCCTGGAAGGTCTTCCACAGCAGCTGTGTGGTAGGGCCCCCCGAGACCAGCCTGCACACCGTGGTGCAGGGCCGGGGGGAGGTCATCATCTTTGGCGGCCTGATGGACAAGAAGCAGAACGTCAAGTACTATCCCAAAACCAATGCCTTGTACTTTGTCCGAGCAAAGAGATAATGCAGCGGCGGAAGCGGCTCCCCCCCTCCCCTCAAGACCCCCTCATCGTCGTCGTCCTCTTCCTCCTCCGTGCTCTGTCAAGCGGGCTGTGAATCTGGGCATCCACCCACCAATAAAAAAAAGATCTAAGCAACTGGAACGAATGCTCTTACCCCTCCAGGTCCCAGCATGAGCCCAGAGTGCCAAAACACACACCTTTTTCCAGGGGGGGGGGTGGTTCCAGACTGGAGGGTGGTGAGCAGGCCCTTCAGTGCACATTGTGGCTTTCTCAACATACTTCCAACCCCGTGGCAGTTGTGGAGGGTTGCCAAGGGATTGGGGTGGGCACCATTCTTCTCCCTGCTGTGGGGCTGCAGTGATGCTAGGGAACCACCTTGGATCTTCCCCCTGACCATTATCCTTTTGGAACCCCCCCCCCCGTTCTTGTTGCTGTAGCCCCCCTGTAAGTTGCTGTCTGATCGATGTGAGTCTCTGGATGCTGTCCCTTGGAGCAGGGTGGTTGAGATGTTCCTGGCTATGAGGAGCAGCCTGGCAGGGTGTGCTGGTCTATCACAGCAAAAGCAGTCAGCTGCCGGGGTGGGGGGCAGAGTGGCTTAAAGCAGTACCAGCTTATTTTGCAGATGCCACAGGAAGGGCCCCCATTGCCAGCCTTGTGTGTGATGGGAGGGGCCTTTGTCCATGGAGTCCTGCCGCTCCAGCAGGCGCAAGGGAGTTAGCAAGCAAGCAAGCAAACCTGGAGTTCGGACCTAGCCTGTTCCATGGCTCCTGTTGCAGCCTCCCTGCCTGCCTTTCTCCTGCAGCCGCTCCAGTGGAAATGGACTTGCTTTGGCATCAGATTCCCTTCTGGTTCCTAGAGGAAGCACTGGCTCCTCCCAGCGGGTAGGGTGGGTGGAGGGGCCCTTGTGGCTGCTGCTCCCCACCAAAGCACGCTTCCACATTGTGAAGGAAGAGGGGCAGGATCCGCACACAGGCCCCGGGTTCTGCTGTGTGAGGGACATAGCTGAGCAGGAGCACTAGGATGCCCCCTTGGTCCCCTGGCCTTGGCAGGTGCCATTGGCGGGGGGAGTCGGGGACGGCATACTCTTCAACAGCATAAGAAGCGGGACAGGCCCTGGAGTGAGTGGGAGACAGCTCTGTGGCTTGCCTGTTGAGCAGAAACTCCCTCTGATGTGATGAAAAACTACATCTGTAGCTCACCCACTCCCATCCTTCAATTGTCAGCAATCATAGTGGCTTCTCCAGGTTTTCTAGCAGTGCTCCAGGCCAAAATTCAGGCCACCCTTCACCCGAGATGGTGGGCAGGTGGGAAGGCCGTCCCTAGAGGCCACTGGCTGCTTTCAGTGGTCTATGCGTTTGCTTCTGGCCACCTGTCTTGCCGGATGTCCCGAGCGCTTTTCATCTTCCCAATTTCTAGGACCAGAAAGGATAAAAAGAAAGCTCCAAAAGCTCCGTTTTCCTGGCTCTGCACGCTGAGCAAGACAGGGATGGGGTGGGGAGTCCAGGTTCTATCACTGCCACCCCCACCCCATATGATACCAGCTGATTGAAATCCCACCTTCCTGAACTACACTTAAAACATGCTTTTGACTTAACAGAAGTGGGGGCATGATCGCCCTCCCCTCCACCTCGAAAGCACTTGGCAAAATTTTCTTTTGCGTTGCAAAGATGAAGCTCTAAGCTTTCTTAATTGTTGCTAAATTGCCACAACTGCCCCCCAACAAAATATAGGTGTTCTCTTCCTCCTCTCCCCCCGCCCCGCGGCCAAGAAATCCAGCTTTATGTTTTGGGCAACATCTTCACCTACTAGGCTCTTCCGTATTTCACAACCGCCTCCCTTCAAATGCCTTTAGTCCTTGTTTTTTTTTTTGGGGGGGGGGAGAGCTGCTTTTATTTTGTATTCGCCTGATGGAAGCAGAGACGCAGCCATTGCTGGTGGCTCCCTGGCGCTACTGGCTGGAGTGGCAATGCCCCCCACCGCTCACTTCTGCCCTACAAGAGGGAGGCAGTGCCGCCTGGGGGGCTGCAATCGTGATCCCAACGCCTTATCCGGGCTTGCACCCTGGGGAAACCGGTCCTGTGGGTGCTTGATTTGTGGGGGTCCCACCCGTGGCAGAGATCCTGTGATCTAAGTCTCTCCACCCTGATTTCCTGACTTATGAATGGCAGAAAGGCCCCGCCCATCTTCCACGTCCCCCACCAGCAAAATCCACATCATGACCTGCGTGTAAGATGGCAAGATGCGTTCTTGCCCCTCCCGTTGCTCGAAAATGACTCAGGTGCGCCCAAGACGCGCCCCACCCGCCTCCCCCACCCCCGGTGTAAGAATGGAAGTGGATCGTGCGTGATATTTAAGAAAAGGAAAGTGAAAAGGGATCTGTGTAGATTTCATTTTCCTTTTGTTCCATGTTACCACCCCCCCCACTCCCTGATGGATTTTTTGCAATTAAATTAAAAATAAAAATAAATCAAGTCCTCTTTGCTTGCTCCGGTGTGTGTGTTGCTCTGCAGAAGTCCCCTTTCGATGCTGGGGCAGCTCCGAGAGTCGTGGGGTTGGGGGGGGGGGCAGGGACATTGGCAAAAGGTGTCCAGTACCAATATAAAGGTATTCGTGGCGCAAAACGAGCGCAAAACTTTGGCATCCTTTTGGAGGGGACCCAAGATTTCGTTAATAGTCCTCCGCAATGTCCTTTTTACAGGGTATTTTTACCCGCGATTTCCCAAAGATTTCCTAGAAAAGATGCTCAACAACTTTGGCTGCCCCCCCCCCCATAGCTGTCAACTTTTCCTTTTTCTTTCGAGGAATCCTATTCGGAATAAGGGAATTTCCCTTTTAAAAAAAGGAAAACGTTGACAGCTTGACAGCTATGCCCCCAACACACACATAAAATCCTGGCTACGCCCATGGCTGCCACCTTAAATTACTGTATTATTATTATTAGTAGTACTATCCCAAAACCAATGTAGTAGTACCCCGCCCATCTTGCTGGGTTTCCCCAGCCACTCTGGGCGGCATAAATGCTTAACAACTGAAAAACAAAAACAACCCGCTATCTACACAAGCAAGCGGGCAAGAGCAGCGACTCATTTCTTGCCCAGCCGCAAATCCGCGCAAATCTTGCAGTGATTCCTGCGCCGCTACGGCAGGACCACTTTCTCGCCCTTGAATGAGATGGGCATTCAAACCCGTGTCTCGAAAGGATGCGCCTCTCTTCCCCTTTCGTAGCTCTTTGGTGGACGGCTGGGGGGGCGGGGCCGGGGCGGAACCCTTCGTTTACGTGGTGACGCCAGACGCAAGCGGGGCGGAAATGTCTGCCCAGGTACGGCGGGGAGGGAAGCGGCGCACCTTCTTAAAGGGGCAGCTCGCGAAGGGACGAGGTTGCCTTTCGTGGGCTGAGCAGGCGACCTCGCGAGGGTGGGGAGGATCGGTGGGTCGGAAAAAGACATACACACGCCGGGGGTCCCTGCGGAGGTCGGGGCAGCTGCGTACCCTTTGCCCCGGGCCTGGCAGGGCTAAGGCGGCCATACCAGGGTCCAGGGATCGGGTCCTTTTTTGCATGCGGGGTTTGGGTCTTGGGAGGTTTGTGCTGCGGGGCTGGGAACGGCCGCCTCCCCTTAGAGGGCTCCTTTCTGCCTAGCCAAGATGGATGTTGAGGGGTGGGGTGAGATGGGGCACGACGCCCACCTGCCATCATCCCCTGTCTCTTAGATTCGGAATGAAACTTCTCAACCACAGTAGTTCTAAATTACTTTCTTTTGATCCCAAGTGCTCAGAAAAATCCGTCCAAATCTTCAGTCGTTTGAAAACTTTTGTTGTTGTTGTTCAGTCATTTAGTCGTGTCCGCCTCTTCATGACCCCCTGGACCAGAGCAGGCCAGGCACTCCTGTCTTCCACGGCCGCCCACAGCTTGGTCAAACTCATGCTGGTAGCTTTGAGAACACTGTCCAACCATCTGGTCCTCTGTTGTCCCCTTCTCCTTGTGCCCTCCATCTTTCCCAGCATCAGGGTCTTTTCCAGGGAGGCTTCTCTTCTCATGAGGTGGCCAAAGTATTGGAGCCTCAGCTTCAGGATCTGTCCTTCCAGTGAGCACTCAGGGCTGATTTCCTTAAGAATGGATGCGTTTGATCTTCTTGCAGTCCATGGGACTCCCCAGAGTCTCCTCCAGCACCATAATACAAAAGCATCAATTATTTGGGAATCGGCCTTCTTTATGGTCCAGCTCTCACTTCCATACATCACTACTGGGAAAACCATGGCTTTAACTAGACGGACCTTCGTTGGCAAGGTGATGTCTCTGCTTTATTAGATGCTGTCTAGGTTTGTCATTGCTTTTCTCCCAAGAAGCAGGCGTCTTTTAATTTCGTGACTGCTGTCACCATCTGCAGTGATCATGGAGCCCAAGAAAGTAAAATCTCTCATTGCCTCCATTTCTTCCCCTTCTATTTGCCAGGTGATGGGACCAGTGGCCATGATCTTAGTTTTTTGATGTTGAGCTTCAAACCATATTTTGCGCTCTCCCCTTAGAGGGCTCCTTTTTGCCTAGCCAGGATTGGTATTGAGGGGTGGGGTGAGATGGGGCAGGAAGCAGGAAGCCCACCTGCCATCATCCTCTGTCTCGCAGATTTGGAATGAAACATCTCAACAACAGTAATAATAATAATAATAATAATAATAATAATAATAATAATAATAATTTATTTATACCCCGCCCATCTGGCTGGCTTCCAATCGAGTGTTAAAAACAGTACAGCATTCAGTATTAAAAACTTCCCTAAACAGGGCTGCCTTCAGATGTCTTTTAAAGATAAGATAGCTACTTATTTCCTTCACATCTGAAGGGAGGGCGTTCCACAGGGTGGGTGCCACTACCGAGAAGGCCCTCTGTCTGGTTCCCTGTAACCTCACTTTTCACAGCGAGGGAACCGCCAGAAGGCCCTCGGTGCTGGATCTCAGTGTCCGGGCAGAACGATGGGGGTGGAGACGCTCCTTCAGGTATACAGGACTGAGGCCGTTCTAAATTACTTTCTTTTGATCCCAAGTGCTCAGAAAAATCTGTCCAAATCTTCAGTCGTTTGAAAACTAGAGTAAAAACACCAGGGAGTACCTTCCATGCAGTTAACGAATATATTTTGCAAAATTGACAAAGAACCCGCCTGTTTGCATCTTAAGATAAAGCAAGTTTTCTTGGATTGGCTGGAAACCTTTTCAGTACTGTACTTCCTTCTCAAATCCCTTCTTTTTCTTCCAGTGCAGTTTTTCTGTGCACATTCAGCAAGCGTAGCCCATTGGGACACTCCCCCATCATTCTTGACCTGGTCTTTACTCTCCACAAGTACTGAAGGACCTCTCTACTGCTGCTGCATGGCTGAGCAAGAGAAATGAGCAGAGCCTGCGGCGGGGTGCGCTCCCGTTGTTCGGTCCCATCGCCTGCCAACCTAGCAGTTCGAAAGCACCCCCGGGTGCAAGTAGATAAATAGGGACCGCTTACTAGCGGGAAGGTAAACGGCGTTTCCGTGTGCGGCTCTGGCTCACCAGAGCAGCGATGTCACGCTGGCCATGTGACCCGGAAGTGTCTCCGGACAGCGCTGGCCCCCGGCCTCTTGAGTGAGATGGGCGCACAACCCTAGAGTCTGTCAAGACTGGCCCGTACGGGCAGGGGTACCTTTACCTTTACCTTAAAAGATTTTTGCCTCTTTTACTAGGTCTGGTACGTTCATCTCCTTCAACTGCTCTTTGTGAGCATTTCAGTTTTAAATATTCCGATTATTTCTACTTTTATTTAAGTATTTTTATTTATTTTATTTATTTACTTGATTGCCGGGGGGGGGCGGCAGCTGACCCCCTGGCTACACCTTTTTTTCATGGAGGGCAAGGCTACCAATGGGTCTCTGTCTCTCCTCTGTCAGACGCCTCATGCCTGGAATCACAGGTGCTGGCAAAGTGCTGTGACACCTGTGTCTATCTGAGTGCTGGGCCAGGTGGGCCACTGGCCTGATCCAGATGCAGGCTGTCCTTATGGATCCCTACTTCCTCTCTGTGCAGGGGTGCCTCCTCAGCCAGGACCAGCTCAAGGTATTCTTCTGCCTGAGGCACTTGAGAGGCAGGATTCCCACCCTGTTCCCTGTGCAGGATCTGGCTCAGCTGGTTGTTGAATCTCAGGCAATGGGACAAGGTGGCAGCAGCAGCTTAGGAGACTCCTGGCAGATGCCTCGTTCTCTGCGTAATGATAGGGCCAACCCAGTTCTTCTTGGCTGCAGGGGATTCCTTTCTGAGGCTTCCTCCAGGAAGGAATAATGGAGAAGGGATGTTTCTGAGCATGTGCAGAGTACATTTCCATCTCCACCAGCCTCTGTTTTACTGGAGAATGTAGGGGTGGGCAGGCGGTTAGGGTGGAAACCACTAAGCTTGAGCTTTCAACACCTTTCTTCCAAATTTCCCCCCCAATACATGTTCTGGGATCACACTGCACACACACTGCTTTTCTGCCTGCCGTTTCCTAGGGTGCGGGGAGAGACTCCATCAGGCAAGGCCTCCTTCCACCTGCCTTGCTCTACTCTCTAGTCTCTGCTTCTCAATGGGTATTGTATTGTTTTATGTAATGTGGCTTGCTGTTGTTCTATTGATTATAGTTTAGATATTATTTATTGTAACTGTTGAGTGGATTTCTGTTTAACTTTTATATTGTTGATATTATTATTTTATACTATTCTAATGATAGTTGACGCAGGTGGCGCTGTGGGTAAAAGCCTCAGCGCCTAGGGCTTGCCGATCGAAAGGTCGGCGGTTCGAATCCCCGCAGCGGGGTGCGCTCCCGTTGTTCGGTCCCAGCGCCTGCCAACCTAGCAGTTCGAAAGCACCCCCGGGTGCAAGTAGATAAATAGGGACCGCTTACCAGCGGGAAGGTAAACGGTGTTTCCGTGTGCGGCTCTGGCTTGCCAGAGCAGCGATGTCACACTGGCCACGTGACCCGGAAGTGTCTCCGGACAGCGCTGGCCCCCGGCCTCGAGTGAGATGGGCGCACAACCCTAGAGTCTGTCAAGACTGGCCCGTACGGGCAGGGGTACCTTTACCTTTAATGATTGTTGAATGTTACTTTTTAAGTAGGTTGCCTATTTTAAAGTTATGTTTTATTATCACATTTTTGTATTGCATTAGATTGTTATAAGATGTACATATTTTGTTTCTTCAGCTTGTAAACCGCCTTGAGTATTGTAAGATAGAAAGATGGTATACAAATTTAAAAATGATGATAGGGCTTCATGTCGCGTGCAGTCTCTCCCCTATATCCTCGTAGTCACCACTTGCTCTGTCTTGCTTTGCAGAAATATCAAGGAAGGGGAGTATGATCGTCCCCCCGGGATCTGTCGTCGTCACGGATTGGCACAAGACTCAAGAGGGCAAGGAATACTTCGCCACTCTCTTGCGCCAGAACAAGCGCAGGCTCTTTGGTGAGTAGGGGGGGTGACAAGAGCCTTTTGGCATGCCAACCGGAGTGCAGACTTCTCTGGCAAGGAGAAGGCGCTCTGCACGTGCTCAGAGGCACTGTCAGTTTGCTGCCATCACTCTGACACGTTTCCACGTTTTGTGAGCTGGGAATGTGTGCTTTCACTTTGGGTTGCTTGAGGCTGCAGCGGCCATCTCACAGGGCTTGCCTTTCCTTTGCAGGGCTGACTGAAAGGCCAGTGCTGCCCCCACAAGTGGGTGCTGATATTGCAAGCTACAAGGTCTTCGTGTCAGGGAAGAGCGGCGTGGGCAAGACTGCACTGGTGGCCAAGCTGGCTGGTCTGGAGGTGCCGTTGGCCCACCACGAGACAACAGGTGATGCTGGCAAGGGAAGGAGGCAGTCGCGGTTTTCTCCCTCTCCAAGGAAATATTTCTCCCTTTGCAAAACTGAGCTCATTGCCTCCATCTGAAACATGTGTCAGAGACCAGGCTGAGGAGTACAGCTCTGAAGCTGCCCAGGAGCCATGGAGCAGTATAGATTTGGAATAGTGGTTTGCAGAGGGGCATAGTTCTGAAGACAAAAGTTGGGAAGAACTGGGGGGTGAACAGCAAAGTGAAGAACAGGAAGAGAGAGAGCTAACAGACGCTCTCTCGCTGGAAGGTATTCAGCATATCAGTCCAAGGTCACGTAGAGTGGATAAGGTGGCTATACAAAAAGCACAGTGGTTGCAAGATCAGGTTGCAAGGCAGAAGTGACTAGGGGGGAAGTGGGTGGAATCCTTAACTGGGAACACCTTTATTCTGAGATGCGGGTGGCACTGTGGTGTAAACCATTCAGCCTCCTGGGCTTGCCAGTCAGAAGGCTGACAGTTCAAATCCCCGATGGGGTGAGCTCCCGTTGCTTGGTCCCTACTCCTGCCAACCTAGCAGTTCGAAGCACTTGCGGGAAGGTAAACGAGGTTTCCGTGTGCTACTCTGGTTCACCAGAAGCAGCTTAGTCATGCTGGCCACATGACCTGGAAACCGTCTGCGGACAAACGCCGGCTCCCTCTGCCAGTAAAGCGAGATGAGCGCCGCAACCCCAGAGTCGTTCACGACTGAACTTAACTGTCAGGGGTCCTTTACCTTTACCTTTTATTCCAAGAATGGATGCTTTGTTCTTTTGCTGTGATCATTAAAGACTTAAATGGGAAGGGACTCTCTTCACTTTGTCCTGCTCATCTACAGTCAAAGGGGGGGCGGGGGAGGAAGCCAAGTCCCCGGAGCCTGACAAGTGTCAGAGAAATGCTATTTTAAGCAAAGGGATATGTTAATTTGGGCCACATCACCAGGCTTCTGGATTTCACAGAACTCTTCATCAGACACTTTTTCCTAAGCAGATATGTTGTGAAATTCAGAAAGTTCCACAGTCCTGCACTCATTGAAGTCACTCCAACAAGGCTCCTTTTATCTCCTTTGTCCATTGGGACCCACAAAGCAACTTCTGCCTGTTGAGCTTCAGGGTTACAAATATAACTCTGGCAGCATGAGGCCTAGAGGGTTGCTGTTTTTTAAGTCGAAAGCCAAGACACCCGTGAGTCTGTTCTAGCTGAAGCTGTTGTGTTGCAGGGATCCAGACCACAACTGTGTATTGGCCAGCCAAGCTCAGAGAGAGTGGGAAAGCCATCTTCTTCAAGTTCTCCTTCTGGGACTGTGGCGAAGCCGTCCTTAAGAAGTTTGATCATGTACTGCCGGTGAGTGTGCTTGCAGAAGGAGGTTCAGGCCTCTTCACAGAGCCAAGCTGCATCCTGACATTCAGAGAAACATCTGCTGTTGGGATCAGGTCAGGCGCACCATTGCTAATTCCCTTCCAAGAGAGATAAGGCAGGTCCCACATCTCTATATGTTGTACAGCAGGCCCTGTTCTTTGCTGCTTTCTCAGAACGGTATGTATTTGTTTGTTTCCTTAATAATTCTTTTAAAAAATAAAATTTTCAATTTTTACACATTGTAAGTAATATAGCTTCTCTATAAGGGAGTAAAAGAAGACTCTGAAAGGGTGGATGGGAAGTCAACGGATATGAGAGATTTGTTTTGACTGTATTTTAAAAGAATATGTAAAATTTCAGAACGGTTTTAATTGGGCTCCTAAAATTTGCATTGCTTTTATTTAAAAAAACTCTCATCATATTGTGATTTTACAGTTTTGCTGATCATTCTTTTAACGTACTATTTCATTAATTGCTTTAAAATTTTGCTTAACATATTGCTGGCTGTATGTTTGCTTAATTTGTCCTTGTTTCCTTGTGGAAAAATGTTTCTGAAGTGCAGGATGTACCATTTGTTAAATAAATGATGAAACAAGGGAAGAAAAAGGTGGGCTGATTTCTGCTTCTGCTTTCCCCATGCCCCAACAGGCTTGCACAGAGAAAGTGGACGGTCTCCTGCTCCTCTTTTCGTTCACAGACCGGGCATCCTTTGACGACCTGCCAAACCAAATCTCTCGGGTGGCTGATGGGGCCAATAATGCCATCAGAATGGTGGTTGGCACCAAGTATCCTTCCAGCTCTTTGGTGCGTGTGCCATTAAAACTCACAACTTGTTGCAAGGTGCTTGAAGGGGAAGGCAACTCTGCACATGCTCAGGGGCATTTTACCCTTAGGATCTCTTTCTTTAAGTGAAAAGTTTGCACAGGAGGAAGACACTACACATGCTCAGAGAGATACTCATGACTGGTTTTTTGTTTTCACCTTCTTTATCCTCCCTTTCCAAGATAAAAATCACACAAAAGGAGACTTGCAGGTAAAAATGTAGTGTAGCAGTGCTATTTTTCTAGAAAAAGAGGTACTGGAACTCACCATAAACACCTCCCTCGTTCTCTTAGAATGGCAATGGCACCCACCTGAGAGGTGCTGGAACTGAGTTGCCCCCGGGGAAAAAAGCCCTGGCTGTAGGTTTTTTTAAAAACAAACAAACCATCAGGTTAAAAAGTCAGCTCAACAACTTCAGATGAAAAAACATTGTCACCAGATGCTCTGTGTAATAAAATATACCATTCTAAGGAGCCCATTTAAAAGCAAGTAAAGAGGGGGACAGATGGAGAAAATGAATCTCTGAACAAATTTTTGTCTTTTGGAAATGGAAGGTGTCAAGAAAATAAAATAGGCACATTGTTGTTTCATTTTATTTTCTGTCGTCTAGGGCGAGTGCCCCCCCCCATCACTATGATTTTGAGCTGCTTAGTTGTAGAAAAGTTAGGAAAGAATAAAACATTGAAACCAAAATAATTAAACAGTAGTACAAAAGAGCGTGGATCAGGGCCAAACTTGGTGTGATGATAAATGCACTGAATTAAAAGCAGGCTGAATCTGGCCACTTTTCTGTTGAGGAAAAGGCTGCCGCAGGGGCCTGATCCAGACTGTTGTAGGAGCAAGTCCTGGATTGGGCAGTTGTTGCTTCAGAATAAAAGCGGCCAGTTTAACCACACTGTTAAAAAATGCATGTTCCTCCCCAAAGGGAGCTCATCCCTCAGGCCGGGGTCTTAAGAGAGGAGCTGCTACACCTTTGTTGTGGTCTGTGTGGAGAGAGATTTGCCGGGCCCACATTGACCTTGATGGGGGGCTGAGTTTCTGGCGATCCACTTCCTTGACCGGCTCCCTCCAGGTTTGACCAGTTCGCCCACACCGATGTCACGGACCGGGATGTGACTGCCTTCCGCCATACTTGGGGCTCGCCTGTCTTGCGGGTCAAGAGCGTCAACGCGCCACGGTTGGACGATGGACAGACCCTGGACGGCCGTGCTGGACTCTCGGATGTGGCCCACCTCCTGAACGGGCTGGCAGAGCATCTCTGGCGGCAGGACCAACTGGTGGCTGGCCTCATTGCTCCCTCCATGACTCCTGGGCCCCTAGAAGAGCCATTGGGTGGCCCTCACGACCTTTGAGTAAAAAGGCTTCTGCCAAGCCTGGTCCTGGAGGACCGCTAGGCCGAAGCCATCGCTGCCATGGCAACCATGGTGGCAGGAACACATTATAGCCATGCTTAGGAAAGAGCTGGTCTGGCTGATGGAGAAGACAGCCTCCTCAAGGCCAGGTGGCCCTCTGAGAGACTCTTCCCCCGCCACCTCCACGAAGCCCACAGCACCCTTATTGTTTGCACTGATTAATCCGGGGTCTGTTAACACTGAATTTGGGCTCTGGGCTTCGACTTGGTAGGAAGAAGAGTGAGGAATACTTCTGCCTTCTCCTTAGCCATGAGCAGAAGGTGTCCCAAAAGGAAATCAGCCTCTCCCTGTGGTGGAGTCGGATCGTGCCCACAGGGAGTGGGCAAAGTGTACCCCCCCCGCCCCCCCGTCTGTAGTTTGGTGTTGCTTTCACGCCAAGAAATCTAATAAATTGCTTTTATTTAGCTGAGAGCTTGTGTGGCATGTGCTTCATTCTGCTAAAGGCTCAGTAGCAGCATCCCAACCACCGCCCACCCCCTCAGTCCAGTTTGGGCTCCTGCTGAGGTCAGAACAGCAGCACCCCCTGTTTCATTCCCCATGGATCTCTCCTCGCCCGGCAAATTCTGTGTAATGAAAGACTCAGCAGGTCTGGAGATGCTGTTCGGCTGGAAGACCCGACTGCTTTGCAGTGAACGCTTCCCAAACGGCAGGCAGCAGATGGTCCAAAGTGTATTGGGACTTGCCATACGTGCTTTCTGCCAGGCTTACTTGGGGGCAGGAGTGGGGCGCAGGCGCTGTCTCCACAGAACGTTTCCATGGATCCCTTCCACGGCTTCTGCGGCTGCTGGCTGCCCTCCCCTCAGCTCAGTGCTCCTGGGATGCAGGCAAGCTGGTCCTTTCTCTCCCTTTCTGATGATAAACTTTGGTTAGAGGTTTCCTGACACAACCCCACTGGAAGGCTCTGGGTGGGCAGGAAACAGCAGGACCCCCAGGCAGAAAACGGGAGTGTAGAAAAATGGTTGCACTTTTCAGGTCCTTGCCCACCGCTGCCTCCCTGGTGAACCTGCCAGCGAGGTGTAGTGGTTAAGAGCAGTGGACTCGTAATCTGGTGAACCAGGTTCAATTCCCCACTCCTCCACATGCAGCTGCTGGGTGACCTTGGTGTCAGCATTGCCCTTGAGCCAGTGCACCAACTGGACTCATGCACCTCAACCCCGACTGGGCTAGGCGAGCTGGGTAGCACTGCCAGAGACCTCCTTTCTCACAGGAACAGGTCACAGTGCTGTGGACTCACAGCTTAGAGCTGAGAGCACCGGATTCACTGTCTCAATAATACAGTCGTTGCGCAGCAGAGTTTTGCAGAGTCTTGCAGAGTATAAACCACTCGGAGAGCAGCTCTGTAGAATATCTTCCTTTTATTCTGTAACTACAACTATGATACAAAACTATATACAGAGCTGAATATTCTAAGCATAAATCAATGCTACACTGAGAGTCTGCAGCTGCACTTAGCAGCAACCTTATCTCTAGGATCTCTAACACTCTCTCTCTCTCCGATACACTGACTGACTGACACACACACACACAGAGAGATGTGGTGCTGGGCAGAATAAGTAGATAGCAGGACACGCCTCCTCCTCTCTGGAGAGTCAGCAGAGACCATGAGGAGATCATCAGGAGATTCTTGGGTATGGGAGGGGTGAAATCTCCTCACTTGGGCCAGTCACACTTCTCTGAAGTCTCTCAGCCCCACTCACCTCACAGAGTGTTTGTTGTGGGGGAGGAAGGGAAAGGAGATTGTTAGCCGCTTTGAGACTCCTTCGGGTAGTGATAAAGCGGGATATCAAATCCAAACTCTTCTTCTTCTGATATCTGAACCTTAAAAGGCCCCTTCCTACGAGGGGAGCCTGACTCGGTATCTGCAACCCAGGACCGGCTTCACCTGTGCCCTCATCCCTCCTGCTGACACCTCTCTCATGGCATCGGGGAACTCGGTAGAGCATAAGATGCTTGATCTCAGGGTGATGTTTGCAGGGGGTTGGACTAGATGACCCCCGTGGTCCCTTCCAACTCTGCAATTCTGTGATGAACGTTAACCCAGTATGCAGTGTTTTAGCATTTGCCTTCACAATCATCCTGCAAGATGGGCCAATGGGGGCAGGATTGTAACTGGCTGCCTTCCCCAAACTCTGTGCTGTGAGAAATCGTGACTGGAAGGAAAGGCTCTCAGCCAGGGCCTGACTGCTCCCTATGTCCACTTAATCCCTGGCCCCACAGGTGCTGCTTTGCTCTGTGCAGCTTAGAGAGGAGGCTAAGGGGCCTGGGAGTTTTTCCTACCTCTCCAGAGAGGTGGAGGCAACTTCTCGTATGCGAATACCCCAGTATCATCTTTTTTTAAACGCGGCTTTTTCATAATACAATGCAATAAAAAAACTAATCTAAATGAAAACACAAAGAGAAAAACAAAAAACCCAACAGAAGGAAGAGCAAAGCAAGGAAGGAAGAGGAAAAATAAGTGGGAAGATAAAAATAATAAAAGAATGAAAAAACATTGAATCATAGAGTTGGAAGGGACCACAAGGGTCATCTAGTTCAACCCCCTGCAATGTGGGTTTGACTCGAACCCACAACCCTCAGATTAAGAGTCTCATGGTCTACCAACAGAACTATCCTAAAGTATTCACTCCATCTGCTTGGTGAGATTTTCCTAGTCTTCAGACTCAGACATTTCAAGTTCATTCATTTTTCCTTCCACACAAAAAGTCTAAAAGGGGTTCTCCAATTACTGTATTTTTCCATGTATAAGACTAGGTTTCCCACCCTTAAAAATAATGTCAAAAATTAGGGGGCGTCTTATACTCTGGGCCATCTCCCTCCATTTTCTTAAATCTGAGTCCCCAAAAATAGGGGGCGTCTTATACTTGGGGATGTCTTATAGACGGAAAAATACGGCCTTATTATCAATAAATTTCAGCAAAAGTCTCCCTCCAGACCAGTATAACAACTTTACCTCAAATGTTGAGAAGCAATGAATCCTTCATCTTTATTCAGAGTTTCTTCAGTGTAATCAGATTAAAACAGTACTCTATAGTTATTCACTTATTGTATATTCATTAATTCACATCCAGTTCCATATGTTCCATTCCTGATTCTTGCTGGCCATGGTTTTCCAACCTGATTTAGAAAAATAAAATCCGCCTATTTCCTCATCCTCCAGTCTTCTTCCAGGAATCTGACAGTCCTCCATCAATAGTATTCTCCAAAGGTTCTGGGTCTTCTTTAACCTCATCTTTCTCTGGTTCATTTTCATTCCCCACTTTATCCATTTCAGTTCTGATCTCTTTTGGTTGCTCATCCAATAATTGTTGCATGATGCCAACAATGGCATCATGGGGTGTCCAACAGTGTTTTTACCATTACTGAGTGCTCTTGGGCTTATTAACAGGTCACTTTCTTTAAGATCTTACAGTCTCTGCTTTGAGTCTGAGTCCCCTGGATTTTTATCAATTTCCACATTTTCCGCATTCTTTTCTCACAGTAGCATAATTATGCTAGTTAGTTTCATTTTGCAACCAGCACTTTATCCAGAAGGACAGAGCCTTAAAAATAAAAGACAGCAAAGATTTCTAACAGTTGGAACACCTTAGCAGTTTAAAATATTTTGGGGGCCACAATTAAAGCATGCTTTTCGTTTTGCTTTCGTCTCTCTTCTTAAGCCAGCAGTCAGCTTGCATTAAGCCTTTTGATTTTCGTCTCTTTTCTTAAGCCAGCAGTCAGCTTGCATTCTAGATTTATATTTCAACTGCCAGACAGAAAACCTCAGTCGTAATTTATAATAGTCTCACAAATAAATAAAGGGAGGTTTAGCTGACTTTATGTCCCTTGGGACTATTAAGTGGTGTTTGGGCAGAGCAGTGGAAAACAGCCTTTCGGAACCTCAGAGCTTAATCTCGGTTATCTCTGTTTTCCCGGAGATTATGTGATAACCGAGATTTATGGCTGGGCTATCATTAACCATCCCATAATTATCTCCATGGACAGGGTGTCTGTCAACAAGAGATATGTAGTCCACCATCTTTCCTTCCTGGACATGCCCCATAAGAGCAGTCAATTTGTGTTTGTTCCTGACTCTGAAAATCCTGACCCAGGCTCCATTTTGCCAAGGCCACCACTTCCTGAAAACATTACTGAAGAGTTCAGACAGCTCTTTTCTTGCTCGCCTGCCTGGAGCCAGAGTAAATATTTAATGCAGTTCGAGGGAGCTGAAGGAAGGATGTTTCTGGAATTGGAGACTGCGGTGAGTCTCCTAATAGCGTGGGCTCCTCAAATTCATCTCACACCGGGATGGGCTAGGCTGGAAGGAAGCTGAAGAGCTGAAGATTCTTTGCAACCTTGCAGGCAGCAGCTTCAGTTGCATCAAAGGTTTGCCTGCAGTCCATCATAGAACCATAGAATTTTAAGGGACCCACGGGTCATCTAGCCCAACCCCCTGCCTTGCCAGGCCTGCAGGTACTTTCAAACCAGAGGGTCTTACAAAGGAAGAACATACATAAAGTTCTTCCAGAGGACCAAAAATGATGCCCACCCCAGAGGCTCATCAATGGATTGCAGCTCCCAGAAACCAGCCTTGGGTTCTCCATGGGCGGGTCTAGTTTGCCTCTTCCCCTGAATTCTTTGGAGGCTGAAAGTGCCGCTTGGCTCCTGCTACCTGCTAAAATCACACCCCTCCTTCCTCTTTCTCCAGTGCTGCTTATCCCCAACCTCTGGCTTTCCTCCTGTAAACTGCAGTGGTAGTCAGTGCTCCCTTGCTGGCAATTCCCTTCCATAGCACTGTGATAGGAATTTTGAGGTCTTAGATATATGGTAAAGTTCATAATTGTACCAGCCAAGCATGTACATAGATCAGCACAGGAAGACCGACCTGGAACCATTTTGATTCCTAAACTGAGCAAATGTTTTCTCTGCAAGGTCAAAGTGGGAAACCTCCTCATTGTCTCTTTCCTCACAAACCCTGTCTTAAGGGCATGTTTAAGATATGAATAGGGTGTGAGCCTGGGACATGTCCCAGGAACTAAGTATTTATCATTACAAAAGATTGGCCAGGCTCCCCAGGCAATCCAGTCAAGTAACCTGCCAGACAGGAGATAAACAATGACAGGAGAAAAACAACATTCAAATTTCTGTTTTAGACCGCCTTTTCTGTGATGTAGGTATGATGTATCTGAGGGGTGGTCTTAGGTTACACCCCTTCTGTGATGTATGTATGATGTTTCTGGGGGTGGTCTTGATCTACAGGGTGGCAATTTCAGAAGTCTTTATATGGCCTTGCGCGCCATTGTTCTGGGTTCCTCCTCCTCTCCTGCGGGTGAGGAGAGCATCCTGTTGCAACAGATCAATAAAGATCAAGCTTACTAGCTGCTTTGCTTCTCAATATTCTCTGGTTGGCCTCTGTTATTTTCTCCTACCAATAGGGAACCTATGTAAGGACTCTACAGTATATGGGCTCTTGGATACCCCATAAGGGAAAAGGGCAATTTTTGTTTACAACAGCACTCAGAATTATAGGGAGGGCCCCATGGCATCAAAGCCACCCCCCACAAACCGTCCCTTTCCAATGCCCCTCTCTCTCCTTTTGCCGTCAGGATCCAACATGCACTCGGTCCAGAATTTAACATTTACTGGAGAGGCCGTAGTTCAGTGGTAGAAGATAGATAGTGAAATAAATGAATTAAGGTCTTATAAAGGTTCATAAATGTACCAAGCAAACACCTACATAGATATATAGGCCACATGTCTGAAGCTGCACAGGAGAGCAGCCATGGAGCCATTTTGACTCACAGGCTGACCAGGTGTTTTCTCTGCAAGGTCAAATGGAGGAGCCTCCCCGTTGTCTTTTCCTTCACAAATCCTGTCTTAAGGGTAGGTCTGTGTATGAAGAGGGTGAGCCTGTGACTTGGCTCAGGAACTAAGTACAGTGGTACCTCGGGTTACATACGCTTCAGGTTACATACGCTTCAGGTTACATACGCTTCAGGTTACAGACTCCGCTAACCCAGAAATAGTGCTTCAGGTTAAGAACTTTGCTTCAGGATGAGAACAGAAATCGTGCAGGAGGCCCCATTAGCTAAAGTGGTGCTTCAGGTTAAGAACAGTTTCAGGTTAAGTACAGACCTCCGGAACGAATTAAGTACTTAACCCGTGGTACCACTGTACTTATCATTCAAAAGACTGGCCAGGCTCTCCAGGGTATCAATCAAGTAAACATTAGCAGGTGACTTGCCAGACAGGAGGTAAACAACCCAATCAGATTTCTGCTTTAGCCCGCCCTTTCTGTGATGTAGGTATGATGTTTCTGGGGGTGGTCTTGATCTATAGGGTGGGAATTTCAAAAGTCTTTATAAGGCCTTGCACGCCATTTTCCTGGGTTCCTCCTCCTTCTCCTGCGTGTGAGGGGAGCACCCTGTTGCAACAGATCAATAAAGATCAGGCTTACTAGCTGCTTTGCTTCTCAATATTCTCTGCTTGGCCTCTGTTATTTCCTCCGACCGATGGAGAACATACAAAGGACTCTATAAGGGCTCTTGCGTCCCCCATAAGGGAATAAGGGCAGATTTTTCATTTATTACAATTTATTACGGTCAAAGACCAGCTCACGTAACATAACACAATAAAAACAGCGTTCATAAAGATAAAATATACAATCGGAACAGATTGCAGCAATAGCTCATGAGTTAAAATTGAGATATATACATACACCCGTATAACTGAGATTTGGGCTACCATAAAAAAATTTGACCCTGAGGCGCCCCAAAGGGCAACTTCAGCATTTCCCTAGTAAGCTATTTTATTCTAGAGGGTGATCTGTGCCTACAAATTTGGACGCAGAATCTGGCTACCAGCCAGGTAGTTCAGTGGTAGAACAGCTGCTTGGCATGAAGAAGGCCCCAGGTTCAATCCACGATGGCAGCATCGCCTGGTAGGGCTAGGAACAGACCCTCTGCCTGAACGCCCCCCCCCCCCGAGAGCCACTGCTGCCAGCCAGTGCAGACAATGTTGGGGCTGGTTGAAAGAACGTTGACAACCCAGAGTTAGTTAGAATTGCAAGGTGGCAGCCTCTTCTTGCGGCCACCACCAAAGTACTGTCCCCCCTCCCAAATCTACAGAGCAGATGTGTTTTGGATAAGGAAAGGGGGAGTGGGGGGGCAGGACTGGTGGATTGTGCCCCTCCTTAATTTGAGGACCCTCTTCCAGGCAGGAGGCTGTTGCAGGGATGGAGACACCATCTGCCTGCTGGAATGTCAGCCTGCCTCCAACTCTGTTTCTCTTACACAAAGAAAGGATGCTCGAATGGCAGGTGAAGATGATGGACTATATGGAACTTGCCGAACTGACTGGGAGACTCCCGAGACCAGAGAGAAGAGACGGTGGAAAAAGACTGGAAGAAGTTTAAAGAATATTTGAAGAAATATGTTAATATTTAAATCTTAGAATAGCTTTGGAAGTAGATATAGGCTGTAGGGTTAGAAGTAGAAGATAAAGGTAAAGGTAAAGGGACCCCTGACCATTAGGTCCAGTCATGACCGACTCTGGGGTTGCGGTGCTCATCTCACTTTATTGGCTGAGGGAGCCGGCATACAGCTTCCGGGTCATGTGGCCAGTATGACTAAGCCGCTTCTGGCAAACCAGAGCAGCACATGGAAATGCCGTTTACCTTCCCACCGAAGCGGTACCTATTTATCTACGTGCACTTTGTGTTGCGGGGATTTGAACCGCCGACCTTCTGATCAGCAAGGCTAGGCTCTGTGGTTTAACCCACAGCACCACCCGTAGAAGATAGTGTATTTTAAAATAGTATTCTTTGTAAGTGATAAAATGTGAAGATTTTTATGGTAAATGTAAGTGTGATTAAAAAAAATGGTTAAAAACTATGATATATGAAACTGCTAAAGATGAGGTAAAATGAAAATCAGATAGGGAGGGGACTTGGGGAAGCTCACCTAACAATGTTTAGAAATAATAAGGATAAGACAAGAATTTGTTTGTATTTCTGTTTGTATTGTTTATTTGTGTTATAAAATGAATATTTTATTTTTTGGGGAAAAAACAAAAAACAAAGAGAGGATGCTCTGATTTCTCCCTGACCACCCACCTCTTTCCCCCTCCTCCCACCTTTGCACAATCCCTCTTTGCCACCCACCCACCCCTCCGTGCCACCCCCCCCCCCCAGGCTGACAGGCAGCTAGAGATTGTGCCGGGAAGCCTCCTCTGCTTCTGCTGCTGCTGCTGCTCCTCCTCCTCCATCCCATAGCTGCTCAGCAACAGCAGAGCAGGGGCCTGCCAGCGCGTGGGGCTGGGGGGGGGCAACAGGCAGGCAGCGGGCTGGCGTGACTCCCAGCGCCCCTCCTTTCCCAGGCCATAGGCACTGCCTCTCCTGCTGCTGCTGCTCTGACATCACTGCTCCATCTCCTTTGCAGGACCAGAAGATGCTGCACAGCCCAGTAGGAGGATGGAGGTCCCCAGGCAATGGATGAGGAGCTAGGGGAGGGCAGGGAGACTCTCTGGCTTTGGAGGGGCCCCCCACCCACCCAAATGAGCTTCTCTCCTGCATCCCACCTCCCTCTGGAAGGACTGAAGCGGTGATGGAAGCTGCAGCCTGAGTCTCCTTCCCCGACAACGCCCCCCCCCCAAGCCACCATGATCCGCAAGAAGGTCTCTGGGTCGGATGCCCAGGACACCGGCCTGCTCATCGGCCTGGGGAAAAGCCCTTCGGGCCTCTACGAGGATTCCAGTATTCTCCCCAACGGGGGTGCTGGGAGGGACACCTTCGTAAGTACACGGGGAAGGCAGGGCAAGCAATCCCAGGAGGGGGTTCTTTCCAGAACTAGGGGGTGTTGGGATCAACGCCTTTCCCGCACGGGGAGGTTTTCCCCTCAGGGTGTTTGGAGCCTAGCTGCGATTGCCCAGTGGCAAGGGGGAGGCGCTCTGTGTGTGCTCAGGGACTACACTCCCCCGCCAGCTTTATTTAGAACCAAGTCCTGGGTGTGTCTCAAGAAAGAAAGAAAAGAAGGGAAGGCGTTCAGATCCGCAGGTGTAAGTACCCCTAACAGCATCACTTGGTGGGGTTTCTCCTTCAAATCCAGCCCTGGGAGGAGGGAGGAGGCACAATTCTGCTGTCGGACCACAACCCACAAAGAAAAGCAGCAGAACTTTTGTCCCCATTTTAAAATGCAATTGTGGGGTTCAGCTGCCCACTGCTACTGTACACAAATAGGGTGGGGGTGGAGCCAGCGGGGAAAGCCTTTCCGTGCCCCTTGGGTCTTTTTGCTGCAAACTGTGAGCCCCCCCCCCAAAGTTGCACGAAGGCTGAGCTGCTGATTAAGGACTGGCAGGTGGGAGGGCCCCAATTCTGGGCCAGGCCAGGCCAGTTAGCCCCAGATTAAAAAAACCAAAACAATAAGAGCAGGTCCTATTGACAGGAAGGAGGGGGTCTCTTGGTGGTCCCCCATCTAGGACCGGCTGGCCCACTTTGCAATGCTGAAGCCTCAGGCACCCACCAGGCTCCACAGGAACTTCCACCTTCCATCTCAGACGCAGCATAGTCCCCCAAATGTGGCCCCATCCTGATTTTGTTTTCAGGATGTGGACGACGACGACGACCCCATCTACATTTATGGCGATGAAACTTATGGCTACCCCAGCAGTGCCAGCGGGAATTACTTCCGAGATGGGAAGACGAAGATAGGCAAGTATACACTTCCTTGCCCCAGTGTTTTGCCCAAGTTGCAGTTTTGCAACCGCAGAGCAAAGGGGGCTTTGGCTTCCGCAAACTCCGAGCGGCAGGCAGCGCGAAAATGAACCCGTGTTGCTCTGCCATGCTCTGGCCTTGTGGGGGGTGGGCTGCACTTCGGTTGCGGAACAGGGCACCCCCAGGGCGCCCACAATTCCCTTGCCATCTCCTTCTCTGCCTGCAGATTTTGTGCTGGTCTGGGAGGAGAAGCTGCGTCCCTCGAAGAAGAGGCGCAACAAACAGCCCCACCCGGAAGGCGAGAGGGCAGCGGGCCAGGGGGCCGGGTGGGAGGCGGCCCGTGGGCGTCACGAGAGGTGGAGGCAGAAGTTCCTCAAGAACCTGCGCACTGCCGGCCTCTTGATGGAGAAGGTGAGGGGGCTTTGCTGGCAGGGGTCTCCTGGAGGGCTTCGGGCAAAGTTGTACCAGGGCTCCCTTGTGCCCTTGGCAAGGAGCTGTACTGGCACCTCTGAAGCTGGGATAGACCATGAAGCAGAAACTCAAAAAGGTCGCTTTCTGTCTGCCAGCCTGCCTGCCTTCTTTTCCACTATTGGGCACTCCACTTCTTCATTTCATTTCACTTTTCCATATTACCATACACAATGCGGTTTACAGCAACAAAATATACAACAAAGAACCCACACCTTAGAACAGGCATAGGCAAGCTTGGCCCTCCAGATGTTTTGGGACTACAACTCCCATCATCCCTCTCTAACAGGACCAGTGGTCAGGGATGATGGGAATTGTAGTCCCAAAACATCTGGAGGGCCGAGTTTGCCTATGCCTGCCTTAGGATAATGTGATCGAATACAAAAAGTCATAATAAAATATAACTTTAAAATGGATCGGCTTATATTGGACTTATATCCAATAAAGTACAGTCATACCTCATGTTACATCTACTTCAGCTTACGTTCTTTCAGGTTACGTCCCCGGTGACCCGGAAGTACCGGAAATGGTTACTTCTGGGTTTTGCCGCTCGCGCATGCGCAGAAGCGCAAAATGACATCACACGCATGCACAGCCATGGCGAATCGCAACCCGCGCATGCGCAGACGCGCCACTGCGGGTTGCATTCTTTTCATGTTGCGAACGGGCCTCCGGAACGGATCCCGTTCGCAACCAGAGGTACCACTGTATAGTCAAACCTCGGTTGTCCAACATAATCCGTTCCGGAAGTCCGTTTGGCTTCCGAAACGTTCAACAACCAAGGAGCAGCTTCCGATTGGTTGCAAGAGCATCCTGCACTCAAGCAGAAGCTGCGTTGGCAATTCAGCTTCCGTAAAACGTTCGAAAATGGAGCCGTTTGTTGCCAAGGTTTGACTGTAGTATCCAATAATCTCTGGGAATATAATAGTACACAACTAACTCTCAAAACATCGGCAAATAATAATTAAACAGAAATTCACTCTTAGCATATACAGTAAATAATTACTAAACTGTGATCCGTAAAAACAGAAAGATAGACGCAAGTCACAATGTATAAAATACCACATATTTGTTATAATTGTGGAAAATCTAATTAATTTTTTTAAAAAACCACACACAAAACAATGTATAAAATACCACAATACGTACAAAACCATGTAAAAGGATCAAGTGGAGAAACAAAGATGCAAGATGATTTATTTTTAAGAAATCCCAAACTCCTCCCCTCATGCTTCTAATAGCTCCACCAGCCCAGGCTTCAGGCTTGTGTTTTCTTGGGGGCCACAGTCTTTGTGCTGCACTCCATGTGGAAGAGAGCTTGGCCGAGGCTTTCAGGAAGCCCCCCCCCCCCGCCCTCTTCTCAGCAACCTGTCTCCTTCTCAGGAGGAGACTCTGAGCGACCGCAAGGGAATTCACTACATGAAGCTGAGCGCGCCCTGGGAAGTGCTGGTTTACTACGCAGAGGAGCTGTGCATGCGGGCCCCTCTCCAGGTGAGTGCCGGCTCATGCAGGTGCGGTGGGGGACCCTTTCGGCTTCCTCGCGGGCTGCCTCCTTGCCAGCGGTCTACCTCCTAGCCCCTCCGTCTCCTCTCGTGCCCCCATCGCAGGCCCACCCCAACCCGGACCGCAACAGCTCGGACGACCTGCTTCGGAAACTGCACCTGCCGAACATCATGGCCCAGCAGGTGCCCAAGAAGCCCGTCGACTACTACACCTGTGCCTTCCGAAAGTCCAAGCTGGACAAGTGAGTGAGGGCAGGTGTGGGGAACCACCAAAGGGGGGGGGACCTCCAAGGGGTGAACCCCAGGTGGGCCTCAGGCCTTCTGTGTGGCCCATAGCTGTCAATTACAGATTTGAAAATAAGGGACCAGCACCCTCAAAAATAAGGGATCAGCAGCCAAAATAAGGGATTTTGCAGGCAGAAATATGTTCAACTTCTGAGCCCCTCCGAGCCAAAGGCAGAAAGCCCAGCCAGCAGCCAAACAAAGCCTCAAGCGGTGGTTCCCACAGCGCAGCAACCCAGCAAAGGGGATGCAGCAAGGAAAACCACCGTCACCTCTCCGCTGGGAAGCGCTGAGCAAAGGCGAATCCCCAGGCAACACAGCCGATTTGATTGGCACGAGGCATGCAAGCTCCACCCCCCAGTCGTTCTTAGACTCCTTATTGGGTGAGCAACGCAGCCAAGCAACACAGTTGGAGCCTCCCTCCTCCCTGGCCGGCAGGGAGGGAGGGAGAGGAGCTGCTTCCTTTGAAACCCGGGAAATTTAAGGGACATCATCAATAAGGGACAGCAGCGCGACACAGCGCTGGGATAAGGGAGTTTTCCGCCAAATAAGGGACAGTTGACAGCTATGGTGTGGCCCCCAGGACACTTCTCAGACCATACCCACCTTCTCGGTCTCCAAAGGAAGCCTTTCAGCAGTCGTGCCGTGTTTGGGCCTGGCTGGGAAGTTTCTGAGCACGCCTGCAAGGTCTTTTGTCCAACTGGAGAAGGGCTGCGGTGCTGGGGGGAGGCAAGACGTGTGGCTTTTGTGTGGCTGGAAGATACCAAGAGAAGAGTCACTTCCATTGCCCCACCCAATTTTTGCCTCTGGCCATGCCCACCATTGCCACACAGCCCTCAAGGACCACCTCTTTCCATATGAACCTACCCAGACCCTGCAATCATCATCCGAGGCCCTTCTTTGTCTGTAGTGTAGCAGCATGAGAACGGGGCATTCTCGGCGGTGGCTCCCCATTTGTGGAATGCTCTCCCCAGGGAGGCTCGCCTGGCGCCTTCATCATACACCTTTAGGTGCCAGGCAAAATCGTTCCTCTTTAACCAGGCCTTTGGCTGACTGATATCCATGCCCTTTTAAAACGTGCGTGCGCACATTTATTGGGTTTTTCTTGTTTTCATTGTGCATTTTGTGTTTTTATATTGTGATTTTACGTTGTAACTGCCCTGAGACTTGCGGGTATAGGGCAGTATACAAATATAATAATAATAATAATAATAATAATAATAATAATAATAATAATAATAATAATAATGGCAGCCTAGTGGGGTCTGGCAGGCCAGATAGAGAAGCCTGTGGGCTGTAGTTGTGCCTGCAATTACCCTGCTCCGTTCCCAAAACTGCTTTGGCCAGAGGCGACAAAAGCTGAGGCCTTGGGGAAGCTGCCCAGTGCTTCCACCCCAGCCTGTGCCCAGCTCTCCTTCTCTCTCCCTATTTCAGGTTCCTGGGCAGCGAGCAGCACGATTCGTACTTCACCAACACGCAGAGGCATCGCATTGTGAGCCCTTGGGGTGGGGAATGGGGCATGCCGGGTGGGTTCGGGGCAGCCTGACAGCAAAGAGGAGGAGGAGGAAAGGGAGGAGGAGGCAACTTGGACCAATGTTGATGCCCTTTCCTTTTCCTCCCACCTGGCTGAACCCCCCCTGAGCGCCACCCCTCTCTCTCCCAGGTGTATGAGATCCTGGCCCGGACCATCTATGGGAAGAGGAAGCATGCAGAGATGGGCATCGACCGGCTGCTGAACGAAGGGGTCTACTCCGCAGCCTTCCCACTGCATGAGGTGAGAGAGAGGCTGTGGGGGGTTGGGATAATAATAATAATAATAATAATAATAATAATAATAATAATTTATTCATATCCCGCCCTCCCCAGCCGAAGCTGGGCTCAGAGCGGCTAACAACAGCAAAATAATACAGCATTCTAAAATCAATTCATTCTAAAATCAGTTTATATCAAATTAATGGCAACCATTGGGCTAGAGTTCTGTGAGGAGCCAGTTTAGGGATCCCGTAACGCATGAGAGGGGGTTGAGCCCCCCTGCTCCTTGACTCCAGGTCTATGCGGGTGCTGGTTGCAGTTCCTTAGCGCTGGGGTCGGGGGTGGTTCAGCAGAGGAACAGCTGCTCTGCATGCAGAAGGTCCCAAGTTCACTCCTTGGGATCTCCAGCGAGGAATGGGAGAGACCCCATCTCTGGGACTCTGCAGAGCTGCTGCAGCTGCCAGTCAGCGTGAGCAGTACTATGCTGTATGGATGCACTGACCTGTTCTTGGAGGGCACTTTGCATGTGCCCCAAGGCACCCTTTTCCCGCTGCTTATGGTCATGGCTGTTTGTTTCACTTGTGCAGAGCTCGTCCAAGGTGGAAGTCAGAATAAAATTAAAAACTGAAAACGAAGAAGCAGCCAGTCTGCGATGTGGTTCCCCAGCCCCCTTAGCCCTCCCAGGCCCGGGGCAAGTGTACCTGGCCACTGCATGGGCTCCCTTGCCTCTCACACAAATGATAAACCCCAACGTGGAAAATATTGTATGTAGATTATATCAGATAAAAAAAATCAGGTTATATCTAACATAAAAGGCAAACAGTGAGTGCAAAGAACAGCACATAATATTTTGCAGGATGTTACAGATTTGTTAGGCTGTGTTCTTTTTTTGGGGGGGGGTAACTGTCTTTTCATCTTTACTTTTTCCCCCAACTGAAATTAAAATCCTGCTATTTTTCTTTCGTGAGGCTGTACACCTTGGCCTCTACACCTCTGTCCCTTGGGAGTCTGGGATCCTCCCCAAGGATGGCTGTGCTACCTTCTGACATCATTTCCTGTGGGTGATGATGTGACTTCCTGTGGGTGATGATGTCACACGTCCACTTAACCTCTTCCCTTCCGGCTCCTCCTCCCGCAGGGCCCCTTCGAGCTGCCCGAGTACGAGGTCCTGGGCGAAGAGCTGAACCCCCGGCAGATCCTCTACCGCTTCTGGGCCCAGTGGCGCTGCTGGTACAAATACCAGCCTTTGGACCACATCCGCGAATACTTTGGGGAGAAGGTGGCCATTTATTTCGCCTGGCTGGGTGAGGCGCCCTCTTTTGTCTCCTCCTTGGCTGTGGCAAGACGCTGTTCAGAACTCCGGAAAAGGGAAGCAAGGAAGGTGCAGAGGCAGGCAGGGGCCTAAAATCACTCTGCGGTTGCTCAGAGGCCATGTGCACACCAAGCCTTTGAAGCACACCCCCAAAGAATCCTGGGAATTGTAGTTTGTTCAGGCTGCTGGGAAATAAACTACGGTTCCCAGGAACCTTGAGGGATGGGGTAGCTGTATGCTTCAAAGTGTGTGAGTGTGAGCTGCCAGAGGTCTCCCTCTTCTTTACATTCCCATATACCGTATTTTTCACTCTATAAGACGCACTTTTCCCCTCCTAAAAAGTAAGGGGGTGTGTGTGTGCGTCTTATGGGGTGAATGCAGGCTGCGCAGCTATCCCTGAAGCCAGGAGAGCGAAATAGCCATGCAAAGCCTCTGGAGCGCAGCGGGAAGAACGCTCCCCCTGCCCTGAAGAGGCTTGGCGTGGCTATCCCAGAAGCCAGAACAGCAAGAGGGACAGCTGCTGTCTCTGCACAGTGATCCCTCTTGCTGTTCTGACTTCCCTTCGCTGGAGAGGTGCTGCGCAGAGAGAGAAAGCTGCGCAGCACCCCTTCAGCAAAGCGGGAGGAGAAATGGAGCCCCTTCCGTTTCTCTTCCTGCTTTGCTGGAGAGGCGCTGCGCAGAGAGGGAGAGAATATATATTTTTCCTGTTCTCCTCCTCTAAAACTAGGTGCGTCTTATGGTCGGGTGCGTCTTATAGAGCGAAAAATATGGTGCCTTATTTCTCTTCTGTTGTTGTGTGTGCTCCCGTTTGAGCCTTGCACTCTCCACATGCTCAGAGTTACCGTATTTTCCCCTCTATAACACGCAGATTTTTTCTCCTAAAAAGTAAGGGGAAATGTCTATGCGTGTTATTGAGCGAATGTGTGGTCCCTGGAGCCGACGTTGCGGTCAGCAGAAGCCAGGGAAGTGCTTGCTAGGAGGCTTGGCCACTCTGCAGCGCGACTGTGTGTTTGCTAGTGTGTGTGCTTTGTGAGTGTGTGGTTGCCTGTGTGTTTGTTCGCTAGCGTGGGTGCTTGGAGGGAGTGAGAGAGTGACTGACTGCTGCATCTTCTCCTGCAATTTGCCTTTTAAAAAATTGGAAGCAGCGGGGCAGTAAAAACCACCTCCGAAAGCCCCATTTTTCCCTTCTAAGGCTGCAGCTCGGCTTTAGGAGCCCTGAACCCCTGCCTTGTTCTTGAGGGATCTTTGAGGTTTTCCCTTTAGCTTTAACCCAGTCCCCTTATTTTACCAGTTTATCTTCATTCTCGGTGTGGTAAACTGATTGCAGGCAGCCACACGTGCGTTCGAGCCTCCCGAGAGAGAAAGCTGTTGCTTTCCTGCATTCTGCCTCAGGGTCTTACTGCCCTCCCGCTTCTGTTTCGTTACTGTGTTTGCTCAAACGGAACAAAGAGCAGAGAAAACCCCTCCCCTCCAGTCAAGGAGGGGGAAACCAGAGCGTCCTTCCTTCTACCGTAATTCCTCTCCCTGCTCCGGTGCTGCTGCTGCTGCTGCGTCTAGGCAACATGCAGGTGGGGGGGGGGGGAGAGAGAGAGCTAGCTGGCTGGCTTGGGTGGGTGGCTGAGGGAACTTTTGCCTTCCTTTCCTCCCCCCCACCCCGTTAAACTCCTCCCCTGCATTCTTAGCCAGCTGCTTCTCCGCACACCCCTCTGGGTGCTCCTTGTCCCTTCTGTTTTTCCTTCCCTCCTCACTTAAAACGTGGTTACAAAGCATGGATCTACATGGATCCTCAGGATCTTTGCATTGGGTCAGCCCAAATTCAACATCAGATCACATAGCATATCCATGGCTACAGCCTGCACCAAAAAAAATCACGCACCCACTGTTGCCTGGGGCTGCAATGGTACAAAAACGTGGTTACAAAGCAGAGATCCACATGGATTCTCAGGATTTTTGCATTGGGCTACCCCAAACTCACCATCAAATCACATGTCTGTGGCCACAGCATGAAGCACAAAAATTATACATCCACTGTTTCATTCAGAATTTTTTTTCTTGTTTTCCTCCTCTCAAAATTATGTGCGTGTTATGGTCAGGTGCGTGTTATCGAGCGAAAAATACGGTAACTTTTGAAGCGGCTTTGGGTCTCATGAGGTGCCGAGTTCTGCATCTGGGTCCTGAGCAGGGAGACTGAGGTGGGGGGGGAAATATGGTCTTGAGGAAGGCGGAGCCCAGCCCATCAACTCTGGCCTGGAAGGGGCTCAGGTTGGGGGGTGGCAGGGCCAAATGTTGGGTGCCCTCTGCTCACAGGCTCGGCCTCACCTGTCTCCCCTGCAGGCTTCTACACGGCTTGGCTCCTCCCGGCTGCCACTGTCGGCACTTTGGTGTTCGTTGCCGGCCTCTTCACCATGGGGACAAACACGCCAGCGTGAGTGGGGCTGGTGCTGTGGGGAGGAGGGCAGTCAGCTTGTGGGAGAGCCTGCGTGCCTCAGGGCATGGCACCCCCCTTTCCAAGCATCCCTTTCCAAACCCTCATCCTGCATCTTGGGCCCCATGGGGTGGGAAGCTCCATCTCTTTTATGGCCGTGCATCAGGCAGAAGTTCAACTGGTGAAGCATTTCCTAGCCTGCATCTGCATGGGCAGGAGGAGACTGGCCACACATTGGGCCTTCAGTGCCGCCGTTGGTGGGTGGGTGTCCCAGAGGCACCTTGGAAACAGACCCTTGGAAAATCTGCTGAAAGGCCTGTCCAAGTCCTGAGATTTCTGAAGGCCGAGGAACAAGGAGTAAGAGAGAAATAGCCTCCTCGGAGCAAGCACCTAGTTGATGACCGAAGAAAACACGATGCAGAGCTCTCTTTTTTCAAAATAATCATATTAAGAGGAATAAACGCAGGATCCTTTATCCTCTGTCCGTCACGCTCCATCACGCACAGCACGATGGGCTGCCTCGGCCTGATCCTGCTGTTTCAGCTGCAAATGCCCGGTGGTGGAGTTATACAGCAGTGGAGAGGAGTTTGCGCCCTGCATGTGGGTTTGTGGCTGCCCCCCTGTCAGAAGCAGGATACTGGGTTGGGTTAGATCAGGGAGTGGGTTCTTCCTTGTCTGCCTTTTCTCATTCCTGCCCTCTGACCCAGGATCCTGGTCCTCTCTAGCCTCAGAGAGGTGATTGTGCCAATTCTGGGCAAAGGAAAGGGCATCTCCAGATGCGTAGAGGTGCTCTCTTTCGATTGCTTCATGCACAAAGAGCTCCAGTTATTTAAAAAAACAACACACCACTTCCTGAGTTAGTTTTAAGCTCTGGGCAGAGAGCTGAAGGGAACCCAGCTGGCATTGAGTGTAGTGATCAGGTGGGATTGCTATGAGGAATTATAAAAAATATGGAGCAAGCCATTTGTGTCAGCAATGAAAGCATTGCGTTGACTGGGTTTGAGCCATTTTGATATGATTTCTGATCAATCCACCATGCCTCTGCATCTATGTCCTATTTCTCTGCCTGACAGGCACGTATAAGCATTCTAAACACAGGCCAGTTGCTTCATCAGGCATCCTGGGTCATAAAGATAGTAGAAAACTTTGATGTAGATTTGTTAATCTTTAGATAGATCTTAAGGGCCCGGAAGAGAGTTCACAAGGAGATGTTAAATGCTGCCATCTTTCCTCTCCTGTTTATGTCCTCTGGGGTTTGCTGAATGCATTCCTCCTTTTAGTCCTGTTTTATTTACTCTGAACTACGTATGCATGCTCAAATTAGCTGTTTGTAGTTTTAACTTTGTCCCCACGTGAGGTTTTTTTTAAAATGCTCAGAGGAAATCTGATTGGTTCTTATGAACACTGTGCAAAAAGTTCTTTTGTGAATAAAACGACCTGGGCCAAGGGGTAGACAGCATTATTATTAGTATTCGCACCTCCTCCCAGAGTCTTGCTGGTCAAGCCTCGTGTGTATTTTATTAATCAGAGTCCAATCCTTCCTTGCTTTGGGAACGCTACAGGTGAGCATCATGAAACACCCCTTGGGTGAGCCCCCCGCCTCCCTCCAACCCTGAGTGACATCCTCCACTGACCCTCACCCTCTGCTCTTCCCCAGGCAAGAGATCTGCAACAGTGGGGGGCAGTTCCTCATGTGCCCCCTGTGTGACACCTGCGGCAACTGGAACCTCTCTGAGATCTGCCCCATGGCAAAGGTGAGGCGACTTCCTGGCTGCTGGGCCTTCAGGGGGGGAGGATGGGAGGCAGGGCATTTAGGGACATCACAGAGAGCCAAGGAGCTCTCTCTGTGGGGCCTGGGAATGCAACGGATTGCCTGCTTCCAAAGTGGCGCTCCCAAAGTCTCTCTTTAAAAAATAAAAAATTTAAAAATTTAATTTTTTTTTAAAAAATAAAACTGGTTTTTCAAATTACAGTTTTACAATCACATACCCAACATAAAAACCACATTTTTTGGAATCTCCTGGACTTCCTCCCCTTTGTGGGTCCTATTATTAGTCCTTTCCTCCTGCATCTTTTAGGGACGTGGGTGGCACTGTGGGTTAAACCACAGAGCCTAGGACTTGCCGATCAGAAGGTCAGCGGTTCGAATCCCCGCGACGGGGTGAGCTCCCGTTGCTCGGTCCCTGCTCCTGCCAACCTAGCAGTTCGAAAGCATGTCAAAGTGCAAGTAGATAAATAGGTACCGCTCCGGCGGGAAGGTAAACGGTGTTTCCGTGCACTACTCTGGTTCGCCGGAAGCGGCTTAGTCATGCTGGTCACATGACCCAGAAGCTGTACGCCGGCTCCCTCGGCCAATAAAGCGAGATGAGCGCCGCAACCCCAGAGTCAGTCACAACTGGACCTAACGGTCAGGAGTCCCTTTACCTTTACCTGCATCTTTTATGATAATCCAGATCTTTTTCATCTTTATTATGTTCAAAATTCACCATTAAACTACAAGTGTTTTCCAATTCCACTAACGATTTTAGCTGTTTACAATTAATTATAATTTCACCCCATTCTTTATTAAAATTTTGGTCTTCCTGATTTCTGATTCTTCCGGTCATTTTGGCCATTTCGGCATAGTCCATCAACTTAATCTGCCAATCTGGTCGGGACTTTATCTTCTTTCCATCTCTGGGCCAATAACATCTGAGCAGCCGAGGTTGCATACATAAATTGTCTTTTCTGCTCCATTGGGATTTCGGCACCTAAAATTCGTAAAAGAAAGGCTTCAGAGTTGTTGTTGTTGTTGTTGTTTTGGAAAAGGTTATTTTACATTTTTTAACAGGTTCTCTCCATGTCTCATTGGTTCAGGCAAGCCAGCCTTGGGTGACCTCAGTTCCCCCATCCGCAGAATGGGAACCATAGTGATCTATACGAGATTTTTGTTTTGCTTTGTTTAGAAAAACATTCGTTCGTCATTCATCTATTCAGTACCAACAGCCTTGCACCCAGCGTGGCTCAGGAATGCTAAGAACCCTCTGAATCAGTGCAGTTTTCAAAGGCGCAGCCCACAACCTTGATTCGAAATGGCACACGGCTAAATCCAAATATCAGCCCAAACCTGCTCCTTCCTCTCAAGCCAATTTGGTTAGGATCTCTTTAAGAGGTGTCTAAATACGTGGGTGGCGCTGTGGGTAAAAGCCTCAGCGCCTAGGGCTTGCCGATCGAAAGGTCGGTGGTTCGAATCCCTGCGGCAGGGTGCGCTCCCGTTGCTCGGTCCCAGCGCCTGCCAACCTAGCAGTTCGAAAGCACCCCCGGGTGCAAGTAGATAAACAGGGACCGCTTACCAGCGGGAAGGTAAACGCCGTTTCCGTGTGCGGCTCTGGCTCGCCAGATGCAGCTTTGTCACGCTGGCCACGTGACCCGGAAGTGTCTCCGGACAGCGCTGGCCCCCGGCCTCTTGAGTGAGATGGGCGCACAACCCCAGAGTCTGTCAAGACTGGCCGTACGGGCAGGGGTACCTTTACCTTTTTTAAAAATACGTGGAGCACAAAACCTTTTCCCCAAAACAGGCATGGGCACGGCATAGCTACCATTGGGTGGATTTGATTCCACTGGAGTGTCTGTATGGCAGCTGCTCCTGGACGTCTTCCCCTTCCCTCTCTCGTGTTCTGACCGTAGGTGGGCTACCTCTTTGACCACCCAGGGACCGTCTTCTTCAGCATCTTCATGTCCTTCTGGGCCGTGACCTTCCTGGAGTACTGGAAGCGGAAAAACGCCACGTTGGCCCACCACTGGGACTGCATGGACTTCCAGGAGGACGAGGCAAGTGGGAGGCAAATTGGGACCTGCCAGGCCTCCCTCAACCCACCTTTTAGGTGGGGGTGTGGCAAACTTAGGCAGTGTTCCCTGCAGCAGCAAAAGCAAAAAGCAGAAGCAGTTTTGCTGCGCCAGCCACTTTAAAGCCCTAAATGGCCTCGGTCCAGTATACCTGAAGGAGCGTCTCCACCTCCATCGTTCTACCCGGACACTGAGGTCCAGGGCCAAGGGCCTTCTGGCAGTTCCCTCGCTGCGAGAAGCCAAGTTACAGGGAACCAGGCAGAGGGCCTTCTCGGTAGTGGCTCCCGCCCTGTGGAACGCCCTCCCACCAGATGTCAAAGAGAACAACTACTACCAGACTTTTAGAAGACATCTGAAGGCAGCCCTCTTTAGGGAAGCTTTTAATGTTTAACAGACCGCTGTATTTTAATACTTTGTTGGAAGCTGCCCAGAGTGGCTGGGGAAACCCAGCCAGATGGGCAGGGTAAAAAAAATAAATTATTATTATTATTATTGCTATTATTATTACTACTACTATTATTATTATGCCAGCTAACACCAATCAGACTAGCATGGTGCATCTAGTATGGTGGGTGGGCAGGAGTTTGCCCCCTTCCCTCCTGGCGCAGCTCCTGTGGCTGGATGCCAGCAAGAGCTATTTCGCACGACGTTTCCGACGAAATGCCATTTCCGAACGTCTGAAAAGCGTTTCTCTCTCTCTAGCCCTTCGGTGTCGAGACAGCGTTCCCAGGTCGTGCTCAGAGAAGCAGGATTTAGGAATAAACATGTTAATAACGTTGGCAGCATTAAGATAAATTCAACAGTGTAAATAAGTTTTGACGGGCGTAAAAATGGAATAGGAAGGAAATAAGCAGCTATCCTATCTGTAAAAGACATCTGAAGGCAGCCCTGTTTAGGGAAGTTTTTAATATTTAATGCTGTATTGTTTTTAACAGTTGATTAGAAGCCGCCCAGAGTGGTTGGGGAAACTCAGCCAGATGGGTGGGGTATAAATAATAAATTATTATTATTATTATTATTATTATTATTATTATTATTCTGAATGGTTTAGTTTATGTAAACTACGCTGGGATCTATGGCATGCAAACTGAACCATGGGAAGAGAGGAAAGGAAGTCACTGATATTTTAACCTTGTTTAAATGAATATTATAAAATGTAAAATAGAAAAAACTTAATAAAAAAATATACAAAAAAAGGAAAGGAACAAAGATATTAATGTACCAAGCTAGTGCATAGCAACGGAACACCCTAAACACATCACAAAATGGTCATTTTCATGACCTCGTGGTCCCTTTCCAGCTCTGCGATTCTGTGAACCACAAGGCTTGTAATATAATCCTAAACATCTCCGCGCAGTGTTAAAGGCCATTTGCGTCCAAAGGGTTTTCTCCTTTGTTTAGGAATCTGAGAGCTCTGTGTTCCCCAACCCCACTTTGTCCCCAGAAGCCGTTTCATAGAATTTCGTAGAGGTGGAAGGGACTCCCAAGGTTCATCTATCCCAACCCCGTACGATACAGAAATAGCAGCTAAAGAATCCCTGGCAGATGGCTGCCCGAGCCCTGCTTAAAAATCCTCCAAAACCTTCCGGCCTTCATCTCTCCATCTCAACCTCTCTCTGTCTCTCCTTCCCCCAGGAGCGACCTCGGCCAGAGTTTGCCGCCATGGCCCCCCGCATGGAGCAGAATCCCGTCACGGGGGTGAAGGAGCCGTACTTCCCTGAACGGGACCGTCTCTCCCGCATCCTGACGGGATCCATGGCCATCATCATCATGGTGAGGGGAGTCCCCTGCCCCCAGCACATGCCAGGCAGAGGCCTGGGCTGCGGAGCTGGGCTGAGCTGAGAGCCTTCCGGTCTCAGCGCTGATCCTGAACGCTTTGCTTCTCCCGTCAGCTCTGTGTGGTGATGATCTTCCTCGTCTCGGTGATCATGTACAGAGGAATTGTCAGCACTATGATGTACCACACAGGGAACACAATCTTGATGACCCAGGTGAGAGCAGAGGGGCCGTGAGGCCTGGTCCATCCCCACCCCCATTAGGGACATTGAACCCCAAATGTTAAGCGATGTATTTTGTAGGGAAATGGTTTTGTGCAAAGCGTACGGTGCGTTCTCCCCCGCACTGCCGAATTCTGGGAACTGTAGCTGACCCCTCATAGAGCTACAACTCCCAACATCGTTAAAATCGTTAGTAGGATTGGAGTATCACTTGTAGTTTAAGGGTGAATTCTGGAAGCGATGGAGATGTAAAAGATTTGGATCATCATAAAAGATGCAGGAAGAAATTATTAATAACAGGACCCACAAAGGGGAGGAGGGAGGTCCAGGAGATTCATTGGAATCTTGTTTTTATGATTTATGTAAGATTTTAATTTGAAAAACCAAATAAATAATTTTTTTTAAAGAAACCACAATTCCCAACATCATTAAAACTACAGTTCCCAGAATCTGGGTGTGTATGCTCCTCTCTAAATGTGTTAAAAATGCACCATGTATATGCAATCAAAGTCTCTCCCTCTCTCTCCCTCTTTCTGTTTTGCATTCTCTGGATATACATATAAAAAGTCCAGGCAGAATTCTCCTGCAGTTAGGGTTGGATTTTAGATTGTAAGCCCCTCAGTGGCAGAGACCTGCCCCTCTCATCCTCTGCTGGGCACACTGGGCATTCAGAGATGCAGTAAGGGCTCCTCCACACTTCCCTTGCCCTGCTGCTCTTTCGTGCTCAGTCGGAGCAAACAGCAATTTGGGTTTTCTGCGGATTGACCTTTGCTCCAATTTAGCACTAAAGAGAGGATTTTCCTTGTGTGTTGAGTTTGAGCCCAGGGGGTCTCTGTGGTCCCACACCCAGAATTTCTAGGCTATTGGGTTCCCCTTCCTCTCTGTGCGTTTTGAGGAGGGAGAGAATTCGCTGGTCTTTGGAGAGGACTGGGGCGGCGACGTTCGGTCTTTCCCCTGCAGGCGGGGAACATTGCTAACATCAGCAGCTGCATGGTGAACCTGGTGCTCATCCTCCTCATGAGTCAGGTCTACACCTCTCTGGCTGAGAAGCTCACCAGGTGGGGTGAGTCTGAGATGCCAACCCCCCACCCCACCCCAATTTCCCAGCAAGCCCAAACTCTGTCCCTATTCTGTCCCTGCATTGCCACTGCCAACTGTCTGAGCTCAGTTCATGAGGCTCCCTTTGTGCATGATGGGGCGGTGGCCTGCAAAATGCCCCTTGGGGATTTCTGGAGCATGAGCAGCTCCTATGCCATGGGGCTGGCTGCCCCCAAATCTCCCCTTCTCCTGCTCCTCCTCCTTCCTCTCTGGCCAACATGCCTCCCGGCCACCCTATACTGGGCTCTCCCCTTTTGCAGAGATGCACCGGACTCAGACGCAGCATGAAGACGCCTTCACCTTCAAGGTCTTCATTTTCCAGTTTGTCAACTTCTACTCCTCCCCGTTCTACGTGGCCTTCTTCAAGGGCAGGTGAGGCTGCTAGTCTCTAGACCCCTTGCACAGGGGCAGGGAAACAACCCCAGTCGACAGGGAGGGAGGGACTTCCTAGCCCCGGAGCACAAGCCCTGCTTCGCCACGGCCAGGGGTCTGCAACCTTTAAGACAAAAAGAGCCACTTGGACCCGTTTCCGAAGAAAAAAAACCTGGGAGCTGCAAAACCATTGCATGTGCGCCGCTGCCCTCCGATCTGATAGCGGGCGGGAAGGTGACGTCGGGACGGTGCATGACTAACGCACGCACCGCCCCCATGCAACATCACAGCCAGTACAGCGCCCGCCACAGTGGGGAGTGTTGGGGCGCACAATGCGCCTCCTTCCCTCGCTAGTATCCGCCCCGGAGCCATGGCTGTGGCTACAAGGAGGCATGTCGTGGGGCTCCACCACTTGGGCTGGGTGCCCCCCAACTCCCCACTTCCTCTATGGCTTTGCCTTCTCCTCCTGGGGCTCTCAGCCTCCCCTGGGCTTTCCCAGTGCAGAGCTGAGAGTTGCCATTTTGAACGTTCCCCCATTGCGGGGGTGAGGCTTCCAAACACCAGGCAGACCCTTCTCTTTGTCCCAGCAGGTTTGTGGGGTACCCCGGCCAATATGGAAAACTCCTGGGCATGAGGAACGAAGACGTAAGTACCAGGGCAGGGGGCAAGTCTTCTCTCGGTCTGGGCCTCGGTCTGGGCACTGCCCACCTGGCGGGCTCTCCATCCAGATACTGGAGCCAGGCAGGTCCTTCTCCAAAGAGTTTGCTGCAGCTGTGTGTGTGTGTGTGTGTGTGTGTGCACGCGTACGTGTTTCGGTTTCTCTTGCTGTCACCCCAGATCAAACCGTGTGTTTTTTTCTTTTTTTTAATCTGCAAGGTTCAACTTTAATTGGAGGGTTGTGATTTAAGAGCTCACTTGTTTATGTTTGTTTTAGATTATTTTGGTTCTGGTTTCTGTTTTAGGTATTGGCATAGCTACATACATACAGTGGTACCTCGGGTTAAGTACTTAATTTGTTCCGGAGGTCCGTTCTTAACCTGAAACTGTTCTTAACCTGAAGCACCACTTTAGCTAATGGGGCCTCCTGCTGCCACTATGCCGCCAGAGCACGATTTCTGTTCTCATCCTGAAGCAAAGTTCTTAACCCGAGGTACTATTTTTGGGTTAGCGGAGTCTGTAACCTGAAGCGTATGTAACCTGAAGAGTATGTAACCCGAGGTACCACTGTACATACATAATTTTTTTTTTATATGCCACCTTTGCTTAGTTCAAACCATGCTCAAGGCAGCTTGCAGCATGAAAAAGATAACATAACTACAACGTGACAAATGTAGTCATAAACAATAAACAGCATTGAAAACACAAAAAGAAACTGAACTATTTCCACATAAATCACAAAAAGATCTAAAATAGGGATACAAAAAAACCAGCATCAGCAACCCCCACAACAAAAGGTCCCAAACACTCCATATATGAAAAAAATGTTTTTTATAAGTAAAAATTTAATGTTATAATAACTTAAGATTAAAGATCTGGGTAGAATAAAGAGGGAAAGAAACTGCTGAGCTAATAAATTGAATTGGAATACAAAAAAGGGAGGTATGAGGAGGTCCGGGAAACAAGTAAATGAAAAATAATGTGATGAAAAGATTGATTGTTTTTAACTATTTTTATTTTGTATTTTGTATTTTTTCTTTTTCTATTTTGCAATGTAAAAACCCTAATAAAATTTTATTAAAACAAACAAACAAACAAACAAACAAACAAACAAACACTCCAGCCCAAGAATGACAAACAAAGCATTAAAGATTTTCCAAAGCACCCAGGGTCCTGCCACTCCTGTTTGGCTAAAGGCAGAATTGGGATGTCTTCTTTTCAGGGGGAACTGTTTCCTTGGGGCACAGGGTTTCCAGACTCGCTCCCTAGAGCTCTGCTGACGTCATCTCCCCCTCCCCTTCTCCCTGCAGTGCGGTCCTGGCGGGTGCCTGATTGAGCTGGCCCAGCAGCTGTTCATCATCATGGTGGGGAAGCAGATTGCCAGCAACATCCAGGAGTTTCTGATTCCGTGAGTTGCCAGCTGCAGGGAGGAGAAGGAAGACCTGGCAGGTCCAGAGACAGACTGGCAGGTCCAGGGGGGATGCTCACTAGCAGGGAGGAGAAGGAAGACCTGGCAGGTCCAGGGGGGATGCTCACTCTCTGCAATTCCAGCCATGGAAACAGAGCACCCCACAAAACCTAATGTTTTCTGGGGGGGGGTCCCTTTCAGTGGGAGCCCCTCTCTCCTGCTCCGATGCCTCTCTTCTCCATTTCTTCCCCTGCAGGAAACTGAAATCCTGGCGCCAGAAGAGGAAACTGGCCCGGGTGCGAGGGGGTCAGATCTGCCAGGAGCCCAAGCGCTGGGAGGAAGATTATGAACTGATTGAGTGCGAAGGCCTCTTTGAGGAGTACCTGGAGATGGGTAAGCGGGAGGGAGGGCCGAGCCAGTTTGGGTTATTACCCTGCGCAAGCCAGTCCATTTTCCGATCGCTTTCCCTTTTGCAAAACGTCCTGTCTTTTGTGGGGTGGCCGGTTCGTTGCACGAGAACTCCCAGGCCGCTATAATGGCCCAGTTGCTGTGATACGACTGGATCCCAGGCAAAAACAAGGCTGGGAAGTGTTGCGTTCTGAAGGCAAAGGAAAAGACTGGACCCTGATTAATAAAATAGACGTGAGGCTTGGCTAGCAAGACTCTGGGAGGAAGTGTGAATCACACCATCCCCTGGCCCAGGTCGTTTTATTCACAAAAGAACTTTTTACACAGTGTTCATAAGAACCAATCAGATTTCCTCTGAGCATTTCAGAAAACCCCATGTGGGGACAAAACCAGATCAGAGGAAGCCTCTTAACTACAAAGAACTACTTGAGCATGCATACATGTTTTAGGGTAAATAAAACAGGAATCAAGGAGGAATGCATTTAGCAAACCCCGGAGGTCGTAAACAGGAAAGAGAAAGATAGGCATTTACCACTTCCATGTGAACTTTCCTGACACAATGGCTTGCTTCATTTTTCGTAATTCCTCATAGCAATCCCACCTGACCACCACAGGAAAGTGGAGATCGCTCCGTTCTCCTTCTGCCACCCCAGCTCCAGCTCGGAGCTGTATGTCAGGGGCCGTCAATGCCAGCCTCCATTCTGCCCCCTTCCTTTGGGGAGGCTTGTCGCTCTAACCCTGATGAACTTCCCTGCTCTCCCTCAGTGCTCCAGTTTGGCTTCATCACCATATTCGTGGCTGCCTTCCCGCTGGCTCCGCTCTTTGCCCTGCTCAACAACTGGGTCGAGATCCGCCTGGACGCCCAGAAGTTCGCCTGCGAGTATCGGCGCCCCGTGGCCGAGCGCGCCCAAGACATCAGCGTCTGGTTCTTCATCCTGGATGTCCTAGCCCAGATCTCCGTCATCGTCAATGTGAGTCTGGAAGGAACTCAATACCCCACCCCACCCATGAACCCACGAAGCTCCGAGATTGGGGCAGGGGGCTTCTCCACCCAGCAGCCCCACCCCCAAAGCAGCTGGCCCCCAAGCCGAGTCCAAGACAAGTGGCTGCCGGCGGGGGCTGCAGAAGCCCAAAAGGGAAAGCATTTCATCATAGAAGCATAGAATAGCAGAGTTGGAAACAGAGTTATTCAATTTTTTTGACTTCCATCAATCACATCTGAAAATTTTCCAATCTTTTCCACTTAATTTACATTTCTTACTTTCACTATTACATTTAAATATCATAACTAATATCTCTCCTTTGCAATATTTCGTTTGTTCCTCCTTACAAAACTTCTTGTAGTCCTACTAGCGTAATTTGTTGATTACAGTTGCTCTTCAAATAATTCATATATTTCTTCCAATCTTCTGTGAATCTCTGGTCCCGCAGGTTTCAAATCCTTCCTGCCATTTTGTCCAATTTTGCATAGTCCATTAATTTCGTCTGCCATTCTTATTTCGTCGGTATTTCTTCTTGCTTCCATTTCTGGGCCAACAATACTCTTGCTGCTGTTGTTGCGTATAAAAACAGTTTAATGCCCTGTCTATTAATGTCCTCACTTATAATACCAAGTAAAAAATGCTTCTGGTCTTTTTAAAAATGTATATTTCAACATCTTTTTCATCTCATTATATATCATTTCCCAGAAGTTTTTTACTTTCTTATATTCCCACCACATATGATAAAATGATCCTTCTTTTTCTTTACATTTCCAACATTTATTACTTGTCATATACATTTTAGCTAATTTCACAGGTGTAATATACCATCTATACATCATTTTCATCATATTCTCTTTCAAAGCATTACATGCTGTAAATTTTATTCTTTTTTTCCACAACCTCTCCCATTCTTTTAGCTATATATTGTATCCAAAATCTTTTGCCCAGTGTACCATAACCGATTTCACGGCTCTTAATTTTCTTCTGGCTGACAGTGGTGGGGAGAGTAGTGCTAAGTGAATATCTTCATGTTACCCAAGTCCTGACCAGGCAGGGAAGGAGGGATGATTTGCATTGCAGGAAGTTGAGTCTGTGCCTGGTTTTCTATGAAAACTCTCTTACGTTCTGTGGGACCTGGGCAGTCAGGCTGCAAGAGCAAAGGCTCAGGATCTGTGAGTTGGTCCCAGCATCCGCAGGGTCCTAGCTGCACCTCGAGGTGTGACAGGGCCCCTAGATCTGTAGCGTTCCCAAAGCAAGGAAGGATTGGACTCTGATTAATAAAATATACACGAGGCTTGACCAGCAAGACTCTGGGAGGAGTGCCAATAATAATTCCTCTCCACCCCTCGGCCCAGGTCGTTTTATTCACAAAAGAACTTTTTACACAGTGTTCGTAAGAACCAATCAGATTTCCTCTGAGCATTTCAAAAAACCCACGTGGGACAAAGTCAAAGTTAAAACTACAAAGAGGTAATTTCCTACTTGAGCATGCATACATAAAGGTAAAGGTAAAGGTACCCCTGCCCGTACGGGCCAGTCTTGACAGACTCTAGGGTTGTGCGCCCATCTCACTCAAGAGGCTGGGGGCCAGTGCTGTCCGGAGACACTTCTGGGTCATGTGGCCAGCGTGACATCGCTGCTCTGGCAAGCCAGAGCCGCACACGGAAACGCCGTTTACCTTCCCGCTGGTAAGCGGTCCCTATTTATCTACTTGCACCCAGGGGTGCTTTCGAACTGCTAAGTTGGCAGGCGCTGGGACCGAGCAGCGGGAGCGCACCCCGCTGTGGGGATTCGAACCGCCGACCTTTCGATCGGCAAGCCCTAGGTGCTGAGGCTTTTACCCACAGCACCATAGTTCAGAGTAAATAAAACAGGACTAGAGGAATGCATTCAGCAAAACCCTGGAGGTCATAAACAGGCAGGAAAGGAAGGAAGGAAGGATGGCAAGGAAAGAGTATTTGCCATCTCCTTGTGAACTCTCTTCCTGGCCCTTAAGATCTATCTAAAGATTAACGAACTACATCAAAGTAACCTACTATCTTTATGTACTGAGGTTGCCCGGTGAAGCAACTGGCCTGTGTTTAGAATGCTTATACGTGCCTGTCAGGTGCAGAGGCTTGTGGGATTTGATCAGAAACTATTGTCAGTGAATCAAACCCAGTCAACGCAATGCTTTCATTGTGAGTCGAGGACCCGCCCCCCCACATAGGATTATAATAAGACACACAGACACATTATTTTAGGTTAATGGGCAAAATTAGGCCACAACCTTTATTGGTTACAGCATGTGAGTAGTATTGGTTTAGGCATTGGATGATACCAAACTGCACCCCGCACAGCCAGGAGTAATATCAGGGTTAACAACCAATGGGAGGAGCTTGTTGATGCAAATACAACTGGAAGCTCCCCCATGACGTCACTGGGGGTCGTGCCATGGCCCTAGCCACCAGCAGGGCACCGGACAGGATTGGATTCCTTTAACGGAATACCCAAAAGAGGATGGGGTAGATGATGGCGCATACCCAATCCTCCAACACAGCACACATATTCCAGTGCCTAACCGCCAATACCAGAAAGTTGTGACGAATTGCTACGAGGTAGGCGAAAAAACCAAGAGGCTGGTGCCAATTTGCCAAATGGATAAAAGAAGTCCTACCAGGCCCCTTGGGCAACCAAGGCAACCAACTGAAGTCCATAGCAAGGTCAATACACAAAAAGAAGCTGACCTAAGAGGGAGGGAGGGCAGGAGATAAGAAGAAAGCAGGAACAGGCTGGGAGCAGAGCGCTGCCGCGGCTGTTTAAATGCAGCAAGCCCCGCCCACCAGTCGGCCCTATTGGTCGGCTGGGAGGCTTGGCCGCGGCAGCAGAAGCAATCAGAAGCAGGGAGCTGAATACGCCTCCCTGCCTCATTGGGAAGCTGCTCCCGCTCACAACCCCTCCCCTCGGGGAGGAGGAGAGGCCTTGCTGACACACATGGCTTGCTCCATCTTTCATAATTCATCATAGCAATCCCACCTCACCCCCCACACTCTGGATATTTGCACCCCTACATAGATCACCCATTTCCCCCCCCCCCCAATATGAGTCTTCCTTGTATCCCCACAGGCCTTCCTCATTGCCTTCACGTCGGACTTCCTCCCTCGCCTCCTGTACCAATACGAGTACGACAGCCACCTGCGCGGCTACGTGAACTTCACCCTGGCCTATGCCCCGCCCAGTTTCGTGGACAGCAACCACACCATGTGCCGGTGAGAGCAGAGACCTCGCCCCCCTGCCCTGCACAGCCCCAGGGAATGCACACACACATGCACGCCCAGCCCTGTTGACCCACGGAAATGGCATCTCCCCCCAGGTACAAGGCCTTCCGCGACCCCCATGGAAGCCAAACTCTCTTCTACTGGAAGCTGCTAGCTATCCGCCTGGGCTTCATCATTGCCTTCGAGGTGAGCGTCTTGAGGGGGATGTAGCTTAGTGGTAGGGCAGCCGCCCTGCATGCAGAGGGTCCCGGGTTCAAGCCCCGCCGGCAGCATTTCCAGGTTGGGCTGGGGGGAAACTTGCCTGCCTGAAATCCCGGAGAGCCGCTGCTGCCAGTCTGTGTAGGCAGCACAGAGGCAGGTGGACCCAAGGGTTTGACTCAGTATGGGGCTGAGGGGACATAAGCACATGGTAGGGCTAGCGCAAGGGCAGCTGGCGCTGATAAGTGGGGGGAAATGAAGTTGGTGCCCTGCCTGGGGCAAGTGGCTGTATTTATGACTATTTACGCGGGTGGCGCTGTGGGTTAAACCACAGAGCCTAGGACTTACCGATCAGAAGGCTTCGAATCCCTGCGACGGGGTGAGCTCCCGTTGCTCGATCCCAGCTCCTGCCAACCTAGCAGTTCGAAAGCCCATCGAAGTGCAAGTAGATAAATAGGTACCACTCCGGCGGAAGTTCCATCTTAAATTGCTGATCAGAGTGGCCCGAGTGGCATTCCCTTTCAAACCAAGCCTCAGTTTTCCCGTCTGTGGCATGGGGAGAATAACACAGCGTCACAAAGAGCCGTGGAGGCCCCTGGCGCCCCTAACCCACCGACTTTCCTCCCGGCTCCCAGCATGTGGTCTTCTTCTGCCTGCGCCTCATCGACTGGCTGGTCCCAGACGTCCCCGAGTCCCTGGAGGTGAAGATCAAGCGGGAACGCTACCTGGCCAAGCAGGCTCTGGCCGACAACCAGGATGTGCTGCTGACGGTGAGTGGCGACTCCTCCCCCTCGCCAGGTCAGTTTGCGAAAGAAGCACCTGCCTGTCCGTGCCGTCTTCTTGTTGCAACACCAGAAACCCAGGAGCAGGAGCAGAGCGCAGAGGTGGGGTCTGCAGGAGGGGATTCTTCCACACAAACCCAGCCTGCTCCACTCCCAAACCTGTTGCCTTGTGAGGAGGCGAGGTCCGCTCTTGGTCCTTGCTCCCCATTCATTAGGGATGGGTGGAGGCTTGGTAGGATGTCCACAGAGAAGAGCACCTCTGGGCATAGGCAGAGTGCATTGCCTTTGCTCTCGGCACACCCAGGGCAAGGGGCTGGGGCGTCTCCACCGGGAGGTGCGGCCGACAAAACCAGAACTTCTTTCTGCGTATTTGCTACACTCCCACAGTTGTGGAAGAGTTTGAGACTCTTTGGGCCTGAGAGAAAAGAGAGAGAGGTTGGATAGGGGCGGGGAGCCCCTTTCCCCTGCCCTCCCCTCCTGTGCCTTCCTGACAAATTCTCACTCCTCCTCGTTGCATGAGAGGCGACAAGGAATCAGAAGTTCATCCCGCCTGGACAAGGCTGAGGAGCACTGGGAGGCCACGTGCTGGAGTCCCGGGGCCTTCTGGGGACTGGCATAGCCACGAATCCGCTGCCCACAGAATCCTCTTGCTGCAAGAGAAGCCCCTCCGTGCCTGGGCAGGGGGGGGGGCCTGCAGTTGGCAGCCGACAATCCCTTTTTCCCTTTCTGAAACTAAGCCCTGCCCCTGTTACTGGGTAGCTGTGCGCCATCTGTGTTGTCGTGCTGTGGTGTGTCCGGTGTTGTGTTCCAGGCCGGTCCCGCAAATTGTTTCTTCTCCATGGCAGCGTGGTCATCCATTCCCAGTCACGACTGTCTCGCACAGCCCAGTGACTTTGTCCTGGGTGTGGGCATGTTGGCCCGCTCCCACACTGGCCGTGTCACACGGAACCGCCGTGCCTCAGTGGCGCTTGGTCCTCCCTCTGCAACCCAGCCACTGCCCCCCTACTCACTGCTGCCAAACCATCACTCTTTTGCAGTTGCGATTTCTTGGTATGGCAACAAAATTAGGTCGTTCAGTTCAAGTGGATCTGGCCCTCTTGTGCGAGGATCCCCCTTCCCCTCGGAGGCCTGTCTTCACTTGAGCAGAGTCTGAGAGTGCTGGGCCCCAGGACCTATTTGTTGAAGCCAAGGCTGATCCCTGGGCAAAGAGCTAAGCAGGAATCAAGGTGGGGAGGGTTTCAGGCCAATGGAAATAAGAGCCGCAGAACCCACAGGCAGCCAAAATGGCGCCCTCAATGTGGGGCTGGGCTCCCAGTTCCAGTCGGTCCCTTCAACCAGCATAGCCATTGCTCAGGGACGCAGCTTGGAGCCGTAGCCCAGCAACATTTGGAAGCTGCCCTGGGCCTCTGTGCTTTGGGGCGGATCTACACTCAGTTTTTAACGTTAAGGAAGGGTTAAGGAATTGCTTTGATAACATATATGGACATATTACATCCTACTTTTAACACTCGTAATGCGTTATTAAAATGTGACACCAGAGCAGCCAGCAGGAGGGAGACAGGGTTTTGACGGGGGTGGGGGGGCGGGGACCAAGGTAAAAAACACTTTTAATTCAGTATGTCCTGTGACGTTTTAGAACGATAGATCTAATATCGTTCTAATAATGTTAAACAGGTCAGTGTAGATCCAGCCTTGGAACAGCTTCTGGCAGAAACCTGAAAGCGTCCCATCCCAATTGGTCAGAAAAAGAAAAAGAAACTTTCCTCTTTGTCCCCCGACCGCCGCTCCTGGTTCCCACAAACCTCTGAGCCTGCTGCCCTGGTTTTACATATTTGCGGTTACTGTTATTATTACCTCTTCCTCCTTTTCCTCCTCCCAATACAGCAAGCAGCCTTTTACCCAGCAGCGTGAACTAGCGCCCCCCGCAGGTGCAGCCACTTCTGACCACACACATCGGCCCTGTTGAAGAGGAGGCTCAGCCAAGGCGATGGAGGAAGGATTCCCAGAGGGCTCCATCAGTGGCACAAACTCAGCCAAGAGTCTCGTGGCCCCTTCAAGGACCAGGAAGGTGGGCAAGAAAGGCTGGGCTTGTGGGGTGCGGAGGGTTGCATGCCCTTCTCACCCCCCGCCACTGCTACAAGGAGGGCCAGTTTGCTTCTGTGGCTGTCCTGGGGCCCTCCTGCCTAGCCTCTCTTCGCCTTCCCCTCTCGACCTTTTCCCTGCTCCTCAGAGATGGACCGCAGGGACTGTGGAAATGGCATCGCCAACAATTTCCCCAGCCCAAGTTCCTTTCCAAGCCAAAGGGAAGGGCTGATCCTTCTTCTGACGGCTTGGAGGACAGGCTGGCTTGTGGGTCCCCTCCTTCCCAAGGCCATTGTCTCCCAGAAGCCTTTGCTTCACTTGAGGACAGCAGCGGGCGTTTCGGCAGCAGTGTCTCCTGGGCCAAGGAGGGAGGAGGCCGGGGTTGCACTTTTGCAGGCAAGGTCCTCTGCGGAGGGTTTCTACCACAGATCCCTGGTAAGAGGGATTGCGTCCGCAATATTGATCCAGTGTGTTGTGGAAGAGCCATTCCCGCCGCCACAGGCTGCTTCGAGAACTCACGCTTTCCGTGTTAAGATGTGTGGAAACGCCGTCCCCGCTGCAAAACCGAGCGAATGTGCTGTTTTGCTCACCTGCCTGCGCTTCCCTTCTCAGGGGTTTGTGGAAAGGGATGCCCTTAACTTGCAGGAACGGTGTTCTCCTGGGAGCGTTGAGGGCCATATCCATGCATGCAGAAATCCTCGAGGTGCAGCAGAGCTTCAGAGTGCGCACAGCTGAATATTGTTCATGTTTTGATCCTGCCCAAGGGGAAGCGAGGAAGTGGAAGGAGGTTGGAAGCAGGGCCCCTCCTCAAACAGGAACACTGGGCACCTTCCACAAGAGCATCATCGGCCAACTCACTTTTTACAGTGCACCCACACAACGTGGCTGTTGAATTGTTGCGTTCCTGTGTCTTCTGTGCTCGCGTCCCCACCAACACCTGGCCTTTCCGGACTGGCAAAGTGCAAGTGAGACTTGGAAGAGGGGCTCCTTTGCCTTGAGTTAGAAGCTTCCTGCTGTTTGCGGTTTCTTGCTCTGGTCTCTGTTCAACCTCTTGGTGCCACATCCGGGGCTGTGCGGAACTACCATCTTAATCCCACGCCCTCCGGATTGTGGAAAAGCAACGCCTCAAGAGTGCCCAAGGACCCTCAAGCGGAGGACCCTCTGCGAGCATCATGGCTAAGCAGGGAATTCAAAGCCAAGTCTACACCTAGCATTCTGTGTCCGCTGATCCTGTGGTTGGGCTGGTCCGGAAGGACTCTGGAAGTCAGGCTGACCATTCTCAAGCAGCTGCAGCAACAGGCAAGGGGCATTTCCATCCGAGGAGCAGAGGGACCAAGAAGGGCAGCCCTGGCAGCAGCTGGCACAGGAGGGCCAAAAAGGAAACCTCGAAACTTCAGGCGAGGAAGGGAGCCACAGCCAGCCTGCCCTGGCGCTGGAGATTGTTGGTTCGCTGGCTGGAAGGTTTTATGTTAACTCAAAGCCACCACTTCCCTCCCTCTCCTCTGGCAGGTTGGAGAAAAGCAGGAGGGGGATGGAGATGGACCCTTCATTGTTGTTCTTGCCTTGCAAATGAGCTGGGCTTAGGTTCCTGGATCAGCCCCTTCCCTGCCACAAAACCCCCTTTCAGCTCTAAGTCAGGAGCCTGTGAGATATGGGGCTGCAAATTGTAGGAGGGGAGGGATGTGCCCTTGCGGCCGATGATCTGGGGGGGGGGCATGCCGCATGCCGTGCACGATTATTGCTGCTCAGTGTGACCCCCCCCCGCTCAGTGTGAACCCCCCCTTCCTGCATGGTCTCTCTCTCTCTCCCACCCTCCAGCGGCAGCCAGAATTGCCCCATGTTCTGTATATCACACAGGAGAATGAATAAAATGTGGAGTAACATTGTGCGTTCTTGGTGGGGCAGGGAAAGCAGGGGCAGAACTTCTCCCAGGAATTTTTGTACCTGAGGAGTTCATGTTTCCCTTCCGAGGGGAATCTTACCCAGGAGGGGCTCCGAAAAGAGGGGAGGGGTCCACTCTGTTCTCTCATTCATCGCCACCACCACCCTCTGTGAGCCTCCAGGGGAGGGAAGGTTTGAAGACAAGTCAACAAGCAGCCTTGGCCCAGTCAAATGGCTCGGAGGATGCAGGAAAGTGTTCGGTGTAGACAGGGTGTTGTAAACAAAAATTGCCCTTATGGGGTATCCAAGAGCCCATATAGAGTCCTTACATAGGTTCCCTCTTGGTAGGAGAAAATAACAGAATATTGAGAAGCAAAGCAGCTAGTAAGCCTGATCTTTATTGATCTGTTGCAACAGGGTGCTCCCCTCACACGCAGGAAAGGAGGAGGACCCGGAACCAAGGTGTGACCACCCTAATAGAGACATTTTAAATTGCCACCCTGTAGATCAAGACCACCCCCAGAAACATCATACATACATCACAGAAGGGGTGTAACCTAAGACCACCCCTCAGATACATCACACCTACATCACAAAAAAGGCGGTCTAAAACAGAAATTTTGAATGTGGAGGTTTCCCACTTTGACCTTGCAGAGAAAACATTTACTCAGTTTAGAAATCAAAATGGTTCCAGGTTGGCCTTCCTGTGCTGACCTATGTACGTGCTTGGTTGGTACACTTACGAACATATATCTAAGACCATAAAATTCCTATCACAACGGGACAGCTGTGCCCCTCCAGATGTTGCCAGACTCCAGCTGGGCTTGTGGTCAGGGATGACGACGCAGTTGAGATTCAGTGACTTCCCCCTTGTCGCGACAGGGTGAGCCAAGTCTGGTTTGAAACAGATGAAGCAATTGGCGACAACTGAGCATGTGCAGAGTCGCTTCGGCACGGCTGCTTTGTCAAATAGGAAGGTGCCTTGTGCCAGTTCAGACAGTTGGTCCATCTACCTCAGCCTTGGCAGCACTAATAATAATAATAATAATTTTTTATTTATACCCCGCCCTCCCCAGCCAAGGCCGGGCTCAGAGCGGCTTACAAGCAATAATAAAAACAAGAAAATGGCGGCAATGACTCTTCAGGGCAAGCATAGGCAAACTCGGCCCTCCAGATGTTTTGGGACAACAACTCCCATCATCCCTAGCTACCAGGCCCAGTGGTGAGGCATGATGGGAATTGTAGTCTCAAAACATCTGGAGGGCCGAGTTTGCCTATGCCTGCTCCAGGGTTTCAGGCAGGGAACATTCCCCATCCTACCTGTGGGTGGTGACGGGGGTCAAACCGGGAACCTTCTGCATGCAGAGCAGGTGCTCTCCCGCTGAGCCACAGCAGACACAGAGATGCCCGCAGGGAGGCAGGCATCAGATAGGGGGGTGGTAGTGGTTCTCCAGCTGTTACAGGAACTGGGGACAGGTAGAGCTGTCCTCTCTAGGGGCACAAACAGGTAATGGTGGGTTTGCAGAAGGGATTGCAGGGAGGTGGGGAGTGGAATCTGAGCTGGCAAAAGCTTGGAGCGGGGGCTTCTCTCTCTAGTGCTGGAGAAATCCTCCCCACCGCATCCTCTTCTGGAAACCGGAACAGATCAGTGAACATGGAAGCAAATGAATGCGCCAGCAAATCTGAGCCTCTGGAGTCCAATGCCCGAAACAGCCAACAGGGAGGGGGAGAGGCCCCTCCTGTTCTCCCCCATCCCATAATTTATAGGGTGGGTTTTTGTAAGTAGGAGATTATTATTATTATGCCTCCCGTCTGACTGGGTTAACCCAGCCACTCTGGGCGGCTTACAACAAATTAAAACACAATATGGCATCAAACATTGAAAACATAATTGATTAAAAATTTATCTCTCCAGTTTCAGGTGAGTGAAGTTTAAAGCTTTAGCCTTTCCTGGGTTAAATTATTACCATCCCAATAAAGGTTACAGGCCCAGTCAGGGACCTTTCTTTAAAAATAAAATAAAAATTATTGCAAGATTTTCATGGATAACAAAGGTACATTTCTGAGCAATTATTGTGTTGTTTTTCTCTCTCCGGAGGAATTTAAATGGATTTTTGTGGGGGGAACCAGAGATGTGTTTTTCCATTGTTTAAATTCACTAATGTTTTGAATTTGGGGGCACTAGATGGCACTGTTGCTCAACAAAACGCTTCCTTTTCCCCACAGTGAAGTAAATAGGCAGTTTTCTCTTTTTAGAGGCAGTTTTTGTTTTCATTTTTTGATATTTTCAAAGATGGGCAGGAGAAAAATGCTCCAGGCTACCTAATTTAACTCAAACTCAAACATAGATAATTTAACTCAAACTCAGACATAGATAATCAAAGTCTGCCTAAGCATCCTTTTAGGGTTGCCACATTTCAAAAAGTAAAAACCAGGACACCCCAAAAGCTGTTGAGCTTGTTTTAGACAAACCCCAAAGTTGTTGAGCTTTTATTTAAAATAACGCCAAAAACTGTGATTTCAATTTTTTGATTGACTTGCCTAAGATCACGGACAAAGTGCCACCTTTCAGAAATTCTCCCAGCCGTCAATTCCCAGTAATGTCCAGGAAAACCCTGGCGTATGGCAGCCTTATTGTTTAATCTAGAAAGTTACGCAGCCTTGTCTAAAAGCTTCTAGAGATAAGCTGTGCACAGGTGGTGATTTTCTCTGCTGGAATAGATATTTGCCTTCCTACACAAGTGAAACGAGGAAGAATAATTAATAAAATACCAACAGAAGGGAGCGGAGCAGAGGACATCAGGCCACAGAAGGAAGAGCAAAGCTGCCAAGGGGTCTCCTGAGGGCATCAAGAGTGCACCCACTCACCCCGTGCCAGCTCCATTCCAGTTGATTCCAACACATGCTCTGCACCTCTGGGTGGGGAAAGGACACCGACTGGGGGCGGGCGATCAAAAGTAGGCTGCGGCTGAAAGATGAAAGGGCGAGTTGCCCTTTCTAGGGAACAATTTTGCTCAGTCCTCCTGCGAATACAGACGTCCCACTTCCAAACACAACCCAAAACCACATTTTTCAGTGCAGTTATCCAAAAATGTGAAGATTAGGGCAAAGGGTGCAGAAATCTGCAGATATTGGGGAAACTAACATACAAACGTTCATTAGTATTATGGAAATTTCCTTGCAGAAAGAGAGAGAGAACACTGATGAGTTCAAATTACTACAAAAGGCACAAGTGCAGACCTGGCTGTTTTCCTTGGTCACATGGCAATCCCACTCACTCTCCGGTCTCCCCTGCCCCGCCCCCTGGATGATAATAATAATAATAATAATAATAATAATAATAATAATAATAATAATTATTATATTTATACCCCGCCCTGAGCTAGGCTCAGGGTGGCTAACACCAGTAAAATTACAGTAAAACATAATAGGGGGGAAAAACAATTTAAAATACAGGTTAAAATGCAATTTAAAATGCAGCCTCATTTTAAAATAGCCCATAGATCAAAACCATAAGGGGAGGGAAAACATAAGGGTCAGACTGAGTCCAAACCAAAGGGCCAGGCGGAACAGCTCCGTCTTGCAGGCCCTGCGGAAAGATGTCAAGTCCCGCAGGGCCCTAGTCTTTTGTGACAGAGCGTTCCACCAAGTCGGGGCCAGTACTGAAAAGGCCCTGGCCCTAGTTGAGACCAATCTAACCACCTTGCGACCCAGGACCTCCAAAATGTTGTCATTTGCGGATCTTAAGGTCCTCTGCGGGGCATACCAGGAGAGGCGGTCCCGTAGGTATGTGGGTCCTAGGCCGCATGGGGCTTTAAAGGTCAAAACCAGGTCAAAACCAGCACCTTAACCTGCTACCTGCATCCACAGGGAACTACAAAATGAAAGCAGACAGTCTTGCAGGACCTGTGGAGCCAGCAGTCCCAGGTGGCTCGAGTCAGTGAACCAAGCTACAAAATGTAGTGGTCAGGATGCAGCCCGCCCACCTTGCCTCTTGTGTTCCAGTGTCTTGCTCTTCAGGGGGCTCCTGTTGGCTTGCTATAGTCCTATGGACTCGGGAGGAAATCCCCTTTCATACTCTATGTAACATCCTGCATATCTGCATCACTTATACAGTCACACCTCGGGTTACAGATGCTTCAGGTTGCGTTTTTTCAGGTTACGGACCACCGAAACTCAGAAGTACAGGAACAGGTTACTTCCAGATTTCGGCGGTCGCACATGCGCAGGAGTGCCGAATCGCAACCTGCGCATGCGCAGACGTGCTGTTGCGGGTTGCAGACACTGCGGGTTGTGAACATGCATCCCGCACGGATCACGTTCGCAACCCGAGCGTCTACTGTACAAGCAAGCAGGAGCTGTAGCTTTGTGCACAGGAGGTCTCGGGATTCAATACCTGGCAGGATCTCCAATTTAAAAGGATTTCTCTTGCTACCAAGACAGGGAGACACCAGCAGAACCATCTCTGCCTGTGGCCCCAGAGTCCCTGGCCTGACCCTGCAGCTTCTTCCTGTGCTCAACAGCTAGCTGCCAACTCTGAGAGACTTGCACGTATGGCACACACTTCAAGAGCCGGGGTCGTGACCACCTATCCCAAGCACCATTTGAATCAGACTAGTAGAGTCTGGCGTGCTCTGGTCCATGGCGTCACGAAGAGTCAGACTTGACTAAACGACTAAACAACAACAACAAAAGGTAAAGGGACCCCTGACCATTAGGTCCAGTCGTGGCCGACTCTGGGGTTGAGGCACTCATCTCACTTTACTGGGCGAGGGAGCCGGCGTACAGCTTCCGGGTCATGTGGCCAGCATGACTAAGCCGCTTCTGGCGAACCAGAGCAGCGCACAGAAACGCTGTTTACCTTCCCGCCGGCGCGGTACCTATTTATCTACTTGCACTTTGACGTGCTTTCAAACTGCTAGGTGGGCAGGAGCAGGGACTGAGCAATGGGAGCTTCAAACCGCCGACCTTCTGATCGGCAAGCCCTAGGCTCTGTGGTTTA